GAGATATGCTCTGCCTGAGTATCAAATATATAGGAATATTCTTCACACAGATAACGCTTTCTTCATTTTTCTTGAAACATGACTCATGTAGTTAAGAGATATGAGTGCTTGGAAATATTTCCCTCTTCTAAATCAACAGTGCAAATGTGATGATAAAGGTAACTTGTCCCTTGGCCTCCAAATCGGGAATGCAAAAGGAAGAGGTGGGAACTATGGCCCTGGGAAGGGGGGACCCAGTTGCCCTGTGGGCATTGCACTCCGTGGGGGCAGGTCTTCTGATGGTGGACATGTAGGTGTTTCCAGGTTTTGGTCAGTATCTCTGATTACTTCCTTAGGATAGATTTTGAGCAGTTAAATTACTGAATCAAAGAGTATAAACATCTTTAAGATTGATTTTTTTCAGAAATATTCTGCCAACTTACATTATCACCTTACCAGCATCAGATTTTATTGTTGCATGATGTATAGAAAAAGATATTTTATTCATCTTTCACTCCCTTGATTATTGAAAAGATAGTTTCATATATTTATTGATCTTTGTATTTCTTCTTTTATGAATTGACAGTTCATATTCCTGGCCTGTTAAAAGTGTTTTCAGGGCGTCCCTGGTGGCGCAGTGGCTGAGAGCCTGCCTGCCGATGCGGGGGACACGGGTTCGTGCCCCGGTCCGGGAGGATCCCGCATGCCGCGGAGCGGCTGGGCCCGTGAGCCATGGCCGCTGAGCCTGCGCATCCGGAGCCTGTGCTCCTCAACGGGAGAGGCCACAACAGTGAGAGGCCCGCATACCGAAAAAAAAAAAAAAAAGAGTTCTGGAAAACTATATAAGATGGAAGAGATTGTTGAGGTCACCTTCGTACAATCTGCCACAGAGCACTCTCAAACACTGCTAGTGGTAGTATGAACTGATACAAATTTGGGGATATATGTAATGTTTAATGTAATGTAACTGGTAATAAGTTTTCATCAAAACCCATCAAAAGGTAGAGCCGGGGACTCCTCTTCTTGAACCTGGGAAGCCTGTTGTATCTGCATCCTGGGTGAGCCTTTAAATCTGCCTCAACCAATGAAGAATGGCAAAAGTAATGCTATTTGACTTTTGAGGCTAGCACATAAAAATGCCATGCACTTCCACCTTGTTCTCTTTGGATGTTTGCTCTTGGAGATCAGCTACCATGCTGTGAGGAAGCCCAAGCAGCCCATGGAGAGGCCCTCGTGGCGAGGAACTGAGGCCTCCTGCCCACTGCATAGCTGAGCTTCCAGGTGACAGCCAACGTCAACTTGCCAGATGGACCACACTCAGATACACTGCGTGGAGCAGAGATGAGCCATTTTAGGCTAAACTCTGTTCAAGGTGCAGACTTGTGATCAAAATGAACAACTGTTGTTGTTTCAAACTGCTAAGCTTTAGAGTGGTTTGTTACACAGCAATAGATAACTGATGCATCTCATGTCCTCTCACTCTAGCTACCAGTATCTTTTTTTTTTTTTCCTTCCATTTTTGCCAACAGGATAGACAAAAGTGGCATCTCTCTTCTGGTTTTAATACTTTGGCTCATCATTTTTAATAGGGCTTTAGTGCTTTTCTTATTTACAATAGACCTGTAAGATCCTTTAATTCTATTTATTTTCCTTATTTTTTTTGTTTCAAAAATGTTTATTGCAAAAATTCAAAAACGTACTTAAGTGTTTAAGTCAGAGCCAGGATGAGGGTGAGGCTCTGGAGGCACCTTGGCACCAAATTTAAGGAGGCACTCACTCTCAGGGGCTGACCTGAAATAGTGGGACCCTGAAGATAAGCATCTCCTTAAGTTTTGCACCCTACATACCTCCCTTGATCACTCTAGTCCCTGCCCTGTTTTAAGTCCACCCAACCTCACTTTCTAGATATAACTGCACTGGTCATAGTCTGGTGTATATTCTTCCAGACTTTTTCTAGCCAAACATTAACATATATATATATATATATATATATATATATATATAAAACAATGCTATAAATTACATTATTAATATATATGGATATATTATATTACATTTAATAATTTTAAATTTACATTAAATTACATTCAATAATTACAGTGTTAAATATGTACATTTATTAATAAAGATAGTAATAAATAGTAATATGTTAACAGAAAATGTATCCTTGGACATCTTAGGTCAATACTTGCAAATTGCTCTTTCTGAAGATGGCATATTTCATAATGGACATATTCCTTTTTAATATTTTAATTTATTTTTTGGCTGTGTTGGGTCTTAGTTACAGCACGCAGGATCTTTTAGTTGTGGCGCACGGTCTCTTCATTGCAGCACTCGGGCTTCTCTCTAGTTGTGGCGTGCAGGTTTTCTCTCTCTAGTTGTGGCGTGTGGGCTCCAGGGCACATGGGCTCCACGGCACGTGGGCTCAGTAGCTGTGGCACGTGGGCTTAGTTGCCCCGCGGCATGTGGGATCATAGTTCCCTGACCAGGGATCGAACCTGCATCCTCTGCATTGGAAGGCAGATTCTTTACCACTGGACCACCAGTTGGAAGTGCCTCTTTTGTGATATTTATCACATATATTTCCCAGTTCTTTTAATAGGTAGCTTGATTTTATTTTTAACTTATTTTTAAAAATTGGTGTTATCAAGTAGTTCAAACTCTCACCTTAGTTACCTTTTCCACTGTTTTTGTGCTTAAAACACAGTATTCAGCTATATTTTCCTATGCCTTAATTTTTGCATCACTGGGACTTACTCTGGTGTATGGCGTCAAAATGGGATCTTAGCTGAGTTTTTATCAAATGATCAATATTCTTAACATTATTTGCTAAACTCTGTGACCACTGGAAGCGCTGAGGGTTGAGAACTTGATGGGGACATGGTAGAGCAGATTCAACCTAGACGAGGTTTTGGTCCCTTCCGACCACAAGCTGCAGTTCTGCCGTGGCAGAGGCTTCCAGAAGACAGTGGTGAGGGCAGGGCGTGCCATCGCGGTGGTGGAGGAAGGAGGTTAACAGGCAGCACTGAGGCCCGCTGTCCTCTGGGGGAGCCCAGCTGCGCTAGGGAGGGAGAGGCCTTTTGCTCTCTCAGTGTAGAGATGAGCAAGCCTTGCCAAAGAGGCACCTGGAAACTTGCCAGCCCTGCCAGGTAGATCTCACCCTAGAATCTAAATAGATGCTCCCTGAGTCTTCCTCTACATGCCCAAGGCCTATGCCCCCATGGGCTGTGTCCCCCTTAGCTTTACCCCTCCTTTCGGCAGGAGTGCCTCCATCTTTGCCAAGCCTCGCCCATCCTGTGCCAAGGCTGCCGTGGAGGGGCCAGGCGAGAGGTGGGCCCCCGCTCTGGGCCCTCCACAGCCCAGGGGTGGCTTCTGAATGAAGCAGCCCTTCAGGCTGGTGGTCCCTCCAGCCCTGCCCATGGGACCCCTTCTTGGCTTTCCTTCCTCCAGGCTTCAGAGAAATTCCCCATCCCCCTGCCGTTCTTTATCCTTCGGAGCACTTCCCACAGACTGTCATTTTTTCCTCACTTGTCTGTCTTTTCCTCTAGAGCGTAAGCTCCATAACAGCACGTCTCTTTCCTCTGTTCATCCCCGTGCAGCATTGGAAAAAAAAAAATCCTTAAATTTTTTTGGAAGCTTTTTGCTTAGAATTTCTTGTGTTGGACTTGGCGTGTGCTCTCTCCTCTGCCTGTGACGCCTTTTCCTCCTTGCTCTCCTTGCTAATACCCACTTATCCTTCAAACCCCAGCCCAGCTCCCTCCTCCTCCCGGAAATCATCCCTGAACTCAGTATGTAACATCCCAGGCAGAGGTGAATTTCTCTGTCGGGCCCCAGAACAAGGGCCCTTTGCTTTGCAGGGCTCCTCTGAGGAACCTCTCCTGCATGGGAGCTCTCCTAAGGTGCAGAGGACAACCTAGAACGACAGGCGGGCTGCATTCAAACCACAGAAGCCCCAGCTCCCAGGCTGGCAGCCCGGGTGCGGGGAGGGGACCAGCTGGTGGGCGAAGCGGGTTTATCGATGCTTCTAAGAGCCCTGGGGAAATCAAGGTGAAAGGCAGCAGTCCTGCTAAGGAGGAGGCCCACCCCTGTTTATCAGAGGGGCTGGGACGGGGTGAAAAGATGCTCGGCTGCCTGCCAGAGGCCGCGGTGACGAAGGGGACCCACAGCCACCAACAGGGCCCTGGTGGCCCGATGTAAGGCCCTGCCTCCTGCCTCGGCCACTGTGGGCAGTCACCGTGGAGCTTGGGCTGCTCCATCAGCTTTTCCAGCCTCGTCCTAATTCTGAACACCCGAGCCTGGTTTTAGAAAATATGGTCACTGGAGCCATAAGCGCTGGCTGGAAGAAATCCTCTGCTCTTGGCATCGTGTCAGGTACCAGGGGGTGAGGGAGCGGGCGTACTCAAGCGGTCTTGGCCCAGTGGGCACTGGCCCCGGGAGCCTCTTTCACCCTCTGGTGGGCCTGTCAGCCTGTCAGCCAGGGCCCCGCGGGGCAGAGGTGGAGATGAGCCGAGCCCGCCTTGGAGGATGGAGGGGGTAGGTGGGTGACTAGAGCAAGGACACAGAGAGGAAACTCTTGGACAGACAGGAGGCCTGCAGAGAGGCTCCGGGCTGCAATCCACCCGAGGAGCCAGGCAGCTAAGGAGCTGACACAGGGCTAACACAAGCAGGGAAGCGGGGGGTCGACCTGCCTGCCCCCCTCCACCCTCCCCACCCAGCTGCCCTAGCAGAGGGAGCGTGCTTGGCACCCCACCTGCTCCACCCAGGGCCGAGGCCATCTGAGCAGAGCGAAGATGTCCAAGAGAAAACCCCAAATCGGATTGAGGCTCCTGCTCTCCCTTAATGAGGTCCATTATCAGCTGTTCTGATCCCTGTAGAACCCAGCAGGCCGGATTAGGGGCGGGCTCTCCAATCTGGCTGACTCCTCCCTGCTGAGCAGGCAGCCCAGGCTGGCTCTGGAAAACAAGCCCTCTCTCCTCCCTCCAAGGAGAGCTGGAGATGTAGGCCGCCTGCCTGAGGAGGGGTCAGGCGGGCGCAGGCCAAGTTTCCTGGAGCAGAACTGAGAGCACCGGGGCAGGTGCTCCCTGGGAGGGCGGGGGAGCAGGGCGGGGAGGCGGGACTGAGGGGCACAGAGAGCTCTGTGGACAGTGGGGGAGGGCCCCATCCAGGAGACAGGGGCTATGACAAGGGCGCTCTGACCCCCCGGGAGCTGGCTGCATCCCAGGTCAGGCTGGGTTTTGCACGCTCTACCCAGACCCGGACACTAGTAGCAAGTTAAGGAACACACCAGCGCTTGCCTTAACAAAAATAATTTATTCCAGAGCCCCGTCGACCGTGGGGCAGAGTGGGGATCAAGCATGTGTACAGCGTCATCCTCCCCTCTGACCCTTTTAACCTCTACAGGATGGGAGGTGGACCCTTGAGAGGGACGACACTCCCCTCCCTCCACAGTAAAGATTAGCATCTATTTTGGAGATGAAAATCAACAAGAGACAAAAGACCCAGCTCCAAGAGGGGTGGAGCCCAATGCGGAGAAGTCAAAGCATGTTCAAAGCAAATGCTTCTCAGCCTCTCACAGCTAAGGTACTAGAGATCCCAACAGCCCTCCCTAACCCCCCGCCCCCAGCCCAGTACCATCACCACACCGATTCCAGCCTGTACCCTTCCTGTACCCAAGGTTTGGGAAGGAGCCGGCCAGAGGCCCTCCTCCCACAGACCTCACCTGGGAGACCAGCATGACTTCCAGAAGCTTCCGGAGCCCACCGTAAAGCCAAACCCCACCCAGGAGGGTCTGAGGGGCGGGAGGACGGGCAGGCACAGAGGGCCAGAGGCAGTCCTTCCTTCTCTGGTGCAAAGGGCTCTTCGTAGCAGGATGGACGGAGTCCCGGGATGTAGTAAGGAGTCCACTCCAGCCCCAGGGGACCCTCCTCTGGAGATGGGAAACCTTGGAGACTGCAGCCTCACTTGCCCCAGTTTAGGGCCAATACCAAGCGGGAATCACTGAAGCTTCAGGAAGAATGAGGCAGGACTTCAAACAAGCTGAAAAAGAGGAATTTGGTGCTGAGAGGCCCAGGACAGAGTCTCCCAACCCCACTGCCCAAGGCTGTCCTCCCCCTGTGCTGGCAGATGAACCTGGACCCTGTGCATGTCTTCCTGTCTATGGAACACCCCTTTCCAGAAGCCCCAGGGGCGTCTGCTGCAGCAACTGGTTTTCCTAGATTTTCCTGGACAAGGAACAAGGTGGGAGGGGTGGGGTGCAGGGGGCTGGAAGAGCCCATGGATGGCAGCTCCCTAACCTGTCCCCTCCCAAGTTGGACGGTTCGGGCTGCGGGGTGGCTGGCATAGCCCTTCAGGGCCCTCATCCTGGCCCGGAAGTAGGTGTACACAGCCAGCAGACCCGTGAAGGACACGGAGGAGAGCCCCACACAGAGGCTGATGTCCAGGTGGGACAAGTTCCCTTCCAGCACCTGCAGCCACTGGCTCTGGCCCTGCCAGGCCCCGGCCTCTGGCTCCCCGTCAGGGACGCTGGCCAGCTTCTTGGAGCTGCGGCCCACTCGCCTCAGCTCTGAAGGGCCTCTGGGGAGGTTCTTCCCAGCCAGGAATTCAGCCAACAACACGGCTCCTGTGTCTCGCCTGCTCAAGCGTTGCCGCCCTTTTGGCTGCTCCAACTTATCCCTCTGAAGTCCCGCTATGTGCTCAGGAGCTTCCTGGTCTGGTTCATCTCTGGCCATGCTGAGGCCAGCCTGTGTCTCCTGGGGGTGACTTGCCCCAGGTCCCTCTGCTGGAACATCTGGGATGGTGATTCCAGGGGACATTGTCCCTGGGCCCACCATGATCTCAGCCTTCTCAGGGCCCAGAGTAAAATTTCCGGTCGCCAGCTCCAGCTCCACCTGCCTTGCAGGGACTGCCATCCTCTATGCACCCCTCCGGGGGCCCAGGCCAGCCGAAGGAAGGTCTAGGACGATGTTGCTCGGGGAGAAGTGGGTCTTCAAGAAGTTGAGGGTGTTGCCCAGGTCCCACACGGGCGCACCCTGGAGTTCACTGTGGCAGGCGGAACAGAGCTCACGGGGTGGCCACTGCACCTTGGGGAACTGGGGGTCCTCGCTGGGGGCACCTGAGGAGGGAAGCACACACAGGCTGCCTGTGACACACTGGCCACCCAGAAGCCCAGACCGCATTATTCCATTCAGAATGCCAGCTCCCTCATCTGCAAAAAGGGGGCACTGCTGCCCTAGGAAGGGATGGGCACGAGAGAGGGCAGATGAAAGACCTAGCACAGAGCCTGGCCCACCGCAGAGCCCAACACTGGTGCCTCTCTGGGAGAGGACGTTCCTACCCTCCCCCGCCCCCAGAACTCCACAGCTTCCCTTCCGGTCACTTCCCCGTGTTAACCCACTGTCTCTCTTTGTCAACTTCACTGCTGGTTGGTACCCCTGGACCAGACATGAGAAAGCGCGAGAAGACTCAGAACGATCTGTCCTGCAGACTGGATGGTCCACTAGTGTGTGTCTTCTTTGCATTTTTCTAAAATCTCCCAGGTTTTATGCAAGTGAAGATACAGTCTTTTTGTAATCAAAGGGAAACTGTTTTTAAAGCAAGAGCTCAAGGCACATGGTAGTTACGAGGCATCTCCTTTACCCCCTGCGGCCCTCTCGGGTAGGTAGGAATTAGTGGAATTTCCTCCTCAGGTGGGCCCCAAGGGGTGGGGTGTGGGGAGGCCTGGGGGCCTGGATGGGGAAAAGGACACTCAGGAGAGAGTCAAGAAGTTGCCCTTCCCACCAGGCTACTGGGAGCCCAAGCAGGGCTGGCACTGTGGGCAGAGCCCCAGGCTGAGCCCCGGAGGGCCTGCCACCGGCCCCTCTTCCAGTGTCACCTGAGGAAGGGCAATCAGCCCATCTCTCTTGGAGGAGGCACCTCCCCTAAAGGGTTTGATAGGAAAAAAAAAAAGTTGCTGTGGCCAGAATGAAGAAGCGGCAGCAGTAAGTGATGTAAAAATCAGAATGATTATTTTGGGGAGGGAGCAACATGTAGGTTCCAAGGGTCCAGTGAGAAGTAACAGTGATCAGGCCTTGCAAAGTGAGCACTCCATTTGCACCTGCTCATTATTGTTACTAGTTGATCTGAAAGGACCCCTCTGGAGAGAGTAGGACACTGCCTTCCTTTCGGCCTTCCCTTCAGGGAGAGGCATGGGGTCCTGGCCCTCCAGCAGCAGCTGGGCCCCCAGAGAAGCCAGGAGCCTACAGATCCTGAGGCTGGAGGGTCAAATGAGCATCTGGTGGCAGGGGCAGACAGGGGCAGGGAGAGAAGGGGTGGGAGGAGAGACAGCACGTGTCTTCTTTTGAAGCCCACCAGGAGGCCCCAGGAGATGCAGACCAAGTGCAGCCGCCTGCACAGCCACCTGCTCCATGGGCTCCTTTGACCTTGGCCCAGCCCCAGGCCTCATCCCCCACCTCCCACCCCTGGGAGGTCTGTCCCAGCCAAACACACTTCCTCTCTCCCCACAGACAAGCCCAGGCTCCGTCCACAGGTGGCTCCCTCCCCACCCACCAGCTTCTGGTCACCCCTGGAGTTTAATGCTTTTGCCTGTTGGACTCATCTGACTCCTGTGCATGGGGAATAGAAAACACTGTAAATGAGGTATATTCAGAAGACAAGGCCTCCCCCGTGAGAATCGGTCCCTGGTTTTTCTAGGAAGGACCAGGATTTTCTCTTCAAGTATATTTTATCATTATACCCCTCCCAGGGCGGGGAGAGGCCCAGCTCTCTCCTCTCTGTTGGTTTGAGTAAGGGGCCAAGAGCCAGAAAGCAGGACATGTGAGGCAGGAAAGGGACCCCAACGGGCCAGAGGGAGGGGCCCTGGTGTGGGCGAGAGAGTAAGCAATGGCATCAGAAGACCAGGGTCTCACGGTGCCAAAGCCCGAGTTTTCTCATCTAGAAAATAGGTCTAACGATACGGACATATGTCAGCAGGGCTGGTAGAGCACGTGAAAGGGCTCTGGGTGCTGAGAAGCACCATGAAACACGGGGTGTAACCTAGAGGACAAAGAAGGTACCGACTCCTGCCTCTGTTCCCAGACTCCAAAGCTCCCCTGCCTCATCCTCCCTCTGCAGGTGACTCCAGCCTTGGAGGCAGGCCCTTCCTTACCTGCGAGGCGAGCGTTGACCTTGTTGTGGCTAGACCAGAACCAGAGGATGGAGCTGCTCAGATTCCCCACCTGGTGCACGGAGTCAGTGGCCATCTGCTCAAAGTGGCCAGCGCAGGCTTGGCAGCCAAAGAAGAAGCGAACGTAGCCCCGGATGGCCTGGAGGACCTCCTGGGCCTTGCCTACAGGGGAGAGGAGACTTCAGTCACAGGGGCCCTTCCGGCTGCCAGTCCCTGCTGGCTCCACCACTGTTCCCATCACAGGGACTCCGTGCTGGTCGCCTCTGCACGGGGAACACACACCCCAGCCCACCTGGTGAGGGGCCCAGGTCTCCCTGTCGACTTCACCTCCCAGGGGTCATGTTCGAGTTGACCCCGTGTCCTCCCAAACTCGTAAACCTCAGTCTCCCTTGTCTGCCTCTTATCCAGGCCCTCATCACTTACGGACACTCAGGATAAAGTCCAAACGCATTGTCAGGACACTCAGGCTCTTAGAGACGTGGCTGGAGAGGAGGGCAGGGGCCAGAGGGCCCATCACCCATCCCGTGGGCCCCCCTACTCTGCCCCTCCTGCTTTAGGCTTCCTGTTCCAACTCGCTCCCCATCGTGCCATGCTGCATTCAGAGCCCATCCCGATCTGGCCCCGAACGCTCCCTAATTTGTCTCCATTTCTCCCCGGCCCCCTCACTTCCTCCCACTGGGCTCTCTGGCCTGGCAACAGCACAGGCTCTGAATACCCACCCTCTTCTTGCTCTGACACAGGCTCCTCCCTGAAGATACCACTGCTCCCCCAAACCCGCCCCCCTTAAACCCCTCTGTCTTCCACTCAGGGCTGGAGGTGGCGGAGGTACCCTCCCTGCTGTCGGTTGCTTCCAAACTCTCTCTCCTTCCTGCTGCGATCCCCCCAGCCCTTTAAAAGCTCCATCTCCGAGTCTGACCCCTCCATCCACTGGGACTCAGCACGCTGCTCTCTGTCCCACTCACCGCCCCTGCCCGTGCCCTTGGTTCTGGTGACGTCAGTGCCCACGCCAAGCTGTGCCTTGCCTCTCACCTCCTCAGCCCCCTCAGCTCCTGCTTCCACCCACATCACCCACTCACCACCTGCCCTGCAGCTATCCTTGCCTCCTCTGCCTGGCTCATGCTCTGGACCTCACCCCTCTCGCCTCTTCCAAGATTTCACTCCTGCGAATATTTTCTTGTGTTATGGCATCATCAATTTCTCCCTTGTATGGGCTTCTTCCGACAAGAAAAAGGAACTACAACGAAGAAACCCCTTCTCTGACCCCAGTCACACCCCAGTCACTCCCCCATTACCTCCAATTTCTTCCCGGCTCCTCTCTCTTCAGCCCAACCCAACCAGGCCTTTCTCTCCACTAATCCACTGACGCAGCTCTCGCCAGTGAGGTCCTCGCCTCACACCACCTCCCCACTCGGCTGACTGTGTCCTCGCCCTTGAAACTCTTTATGTTGGGGGACCTCTTGAAATTGCAATGGCCACTCCTTCTTAGTCTCCTTTGTTGGCCCCTGCTCCCCCAGCAGAGGTCTGGATGCTGAATGCCCCAGAGCTCAGGCCTCAGCACTCTTCTCTGCCCACCCACTAATGGGCTCCTCCAGTCCTGAGGCCTTAACTACCGTCTGTATGCTAATGACCACAAGATTTGTATCTCTATCCTAGACCTCCCCCCAGAACTGCAGACTCAACTGTCTACATCTCCATTCAGAGATCCAACAGGCACAGACCACTAAGTGTACCCTCCCCCATCTACTCCCTCCCCACCCTGAGCCTTCCCATTTCTCGGCTCACAGGACCATCAACTACCTGACGTTCAGGCCCAACAAGTCCAAGGTCCGACCAAAGTCCTTGGTCCTGCATAGTCTTCATCCAACCTGTCACTGAGTCCTATCAGCTCTACCTTTAAAATATTCCCAAACCTGCCCACTTCTTCCACGTGCACACCTACAGCTCTAGTCTAGGCCACCACCACCTCTCCTGGACAAGTTCCACAACTTCCTAATTGGCTGCTCTGCCGCCCCCTTGCCCTGCTGTAGCCCACCCTCCACCCAGTAATCGCTCTAAAGCACCCATCGTGTGCAATCACTCCCCTGCTTAAGGTCCCTATAAGATTCTCACAATGCAGAGACTGAAATCTCCCTCCCTCCCTCACCAGGACCTCCAAGCCCACCTCCTCTCCTGCTTTCCCCACTCCCAGGCTCTGCCACACTGGCCGCCTTTTGGTGCTGCACACACACCAGACTTGTTCCCTGCACTTACTGGTCCTTGACCTGTGTTATGGGCTGAACTGTGTCCTCTAAAATTCTTATGTTGAAGTCCTAGCCCTGAGTCCTTCAGAATGTGACTGTATTTGGTTGGACACAGCGTTTGTAGAGAGGTGATTAAGTGAGAATGACGTCACTGGGGTACATCCTAATCCAGTATGACTGGTGTCCTTGTAAGAAGAGGAAATTGGACGTAGCCAGGAACACCCCCACTGAGGACCGTGGGAAGACCCAGGGAGAATATGGCCATCTACAAAACCAAGGGGAGGCCTCAGCAGAACCAACCCTGCCAACGTCTTCATCATGGACTTCCAGCCTCCAGAACTGTAAGAAGACACGTTTCTGTTGTTTAAGCCACCCAGTGTGTAGCACCTTGTTATGGCAGCCTGAGCAGACAGCCCGGGAGGCTCTCATCCCAGATGTCCCACCGCTGCTTCCCTCTTACCAATCAGGTCTCAGCACAGGGGACCCTCCTCCGAGAAGCCTCCCCCAGCCAGACACCCTGTCTAAACACAGCATCCCCTCCCCAGCCCCCCTCCCCCACCGCTTGGCTCTGTCTTCTTCACCGACTCACCATCACACCTGAAATGATCTGTGTGTTTACTGTCTGTCTCCTGCCACTGGACTACTGTCCCCTTGAGGCAGGGACGTCTCGCTGTATGCACTGCTGTACCCCACCCCTAGAGCAGGGCCCGGCTCTTTGGAGACGCTCCGTGAATCCAGGCTGACAGACTGGCTGGCTGTCCTCACACCCGGCAGCTCCCCCTGTTCCCTCTGTCTCTGCGCAGGCCGTCTGTCTCCTCTGTCGGGGACTCCCGTCCATCATTCCCCCTCACTCACCTCCTCCCACCCTTCCCGATGGCGTGGAGCGTTCCCTCTCTTCCACCCGCACATCCTGCTCTCCCCCTGGGCCCTGGCAGGCTGCACGGCAGCCCTGTGCCCACCTGTCTCACAGTCCACTGGGAGCAGGGACTGCCTCTTCCTCCTTTGTATCCTCCAGGCTGGGCCAGGGCCTGGCGTCAGCCTAGTCCCTCCGTGAGCTAGATGCCCACCCGTTCAGCGGCTGTGTGCAGCTGTGGGGCAGTGTGGGTCGTGGAGAGCAGCTGCACGGTTTGGGGATGAAACAGGCCAAAGGGGGAAAAGTACTCCCCCAGGTTCCCCTAGAAAATGATTTTTCAGTGGGAAGTGCAGGATAATTGTTCAGAGTCTACGGTATCAGCCGCATAAACTGTGAAACAGACATAGTTCTTTTCTTTATGGGAGTATAAAAAATAGAACCAGAACTCTCTCGGGAAGACTAAAAATAAATCAGGCTTATGGCTACAAGAAAGCCAGGGAGCAGCCTCACGCCCGTTTGTGGGGCACCACCTAGGAGGCAGCGGGCAGGACTGAGTGGCTACTCCAGGCCTGCTGCTTGTGTGTGGCCAGCTGCAAAGGCGGACTCCCCTAAATTCAGGCCTGCAGCAGGGAGCCAGCGGAGGGCAGGACAGGGCCGGCCGAGGTACCAGGGGTGCACAGGCCCAGACTCACCTGTTTCTTGTGAGTGGTCTACATTTTGCCGAGCTGCCTCCACGGTCAGGAAGTGGAAGACGACCCACAGGGAGCAGGGAAAGCCGCGGAAATGCGGCTGACTCCCTTGGCAGCCTACCCAGTTCACCTTGTCGGCAATCAGAGCGCCCTAAGGGACACATACAAGCATGAATGCATATGTGGAGAAGAAAAAGGAGCTGGCGTGGGAAGTGGGGAGGGCAACTTGCAGAAGACTCCAGGTCAGCACAGAGCCCCAGAACAAATGGTCCCTTCCTCAGTTTATCACCTTGAAGGTGGCATTTCCCGTCCACTGGCGACACCCGTCAAAGGAGCAGTAGGTCTGAGAACCCGTGACACAGACCGGGTCACATCGTTACTCTAGCCTTAGCCTCCCCTCTGTAGAACGAGGGGGGGTCATCTCTAAGGTCCAGTCAAGCTTTGACACCCCACATGTCTGTGAGGTTCTGCACCTCTCCTGGTTAACGTGCCCACCTTTGTGAGAGCAGGAGCCCAGAAAGCTGCCCCTGGACAGAATCGTTGCTGAGGAGCACAGCATGCCGCGGAGCAACAGAGGGCTGGAATTAAAAGCTCTGGTGGCGCAGTGGTTGAGAGTCCGCCTGCCAATGCGGGGGACGCGGGTTCGTGCCCCGGTCCGGGAAGATCCCACATGCCGCGGAGCGGCTGGGCCCGTGAGCCATGGCCGCTGGGCCTGCGCGTCCGGAGCCTGTGCTCCGCAACAGGAGAGGCCACAGCAGTGAGAGGCCCACGTACCGCAGAAAAAAACAAAAAGCTCTCTCACCACCGGGGTCTCACAACTGGTTCTAAATCCCAGCCCAACCACTTACAGGTTGTATGATCTCAGGCAACTTACTTGACCTCTGTTTCTTCATCTGCTAAATGGGGATAATATCTGCCTTCCACTCATGCTGTGAGGATTAAATGAGGTCTGTACACAGAGGGCTCAATAAACAGCAGTTTACTCGCTCCTAATGGGAGGACCCGACCACAATCACTGCCTCCTTCCTGAGTGCAGGTCGGTGACAGAGGTCAGAGGTGACAGGGTGAAGCCCTTCCACTCCCACAGATACCAAGCATGAGGTGGAGACCCTCCTTAGCCCTCCCACACTCACCTCCTTCCTGCTGTCCAGGGCAGTTTTAAAGAAACCATAGGGAATTTTCTTTCTCTGCTGCTTCTTGAGCCAGTCGTTCATGGAATGCAGGAAGTTCTGGACCGGGGGCTGGCCAGGGAAGTACTAGGGGAGCGATAAGGGGAGCGTGAGAAATAATTCCCCCAGAGTTCCGCAGGCCTGGGGAAGGCCGGGGGCCAGGCTGAAGTGGGCCGGGGCAGCTTTTTAGAACGTTCCAAGACCACCGGGAAAACATCCTGCCTAACACCCACATGTGGGTTCCTCACTACCTTTGCTCTGGGGCACCTGCGAAAGCGAGGGGGAGGGATGGGCAGAGGCCCTCAGTGGGACCAGGCCCTCAAGGCCGCCCCCTCTCCAGGCTGCAGGCTCCAGTTCTGACCCGACCACACGCTCACTGGGCGGAAGGCTGAGCACCTTCCTGTGTCGCTGCCCAGGGCTGCTGGGACCCCTGGGCCACACGGGCCTCTGTTCAGCTCATCTTCTGATAGAGCAGCTGACTGGCTAACTGACCAGCTGGGTGAGGCTGGCAAATGGCCTTTCATTTGTATTCCACGGGCTGCCAATGGGGACAAGGCAGTGCAGGGGCTTGAGCCGAGATCCAAATCTTGATGGGAACTCCCAACAGTCTCTGAGGAGCATGAAAAGCCACTCTGACAATAAGTCAACTCAAATCGGATTAGTATCAGCACTTTAAAACCACAAGGACTCCAGGGACGAGGATGGATGCCTGTGTGCGCACACCGCACGCACAAACACACCCGGGGTCGGGGGAGGAGGGAGAGAGAGGGCTGCAGTAGCAGAGCAGGTCAGATTAACCACGAAGGGGCAGGTCGAGAGGGCAACACAGGAGGAAAAACAGCAAAGAAAAGCATTTGTGGGAAGAAGGGTGCTGGAGACAGGAATGATCCCTAAACGGAAAAACCTGCCAAGGGACCCAGTCCTCTGAGAAAGTCATGGCGTATTCTTATCTCCAGGCTGGACACTGTCCCCCAGCAGGAGAAGTGGCCGGAAAGAATCCTGTGCCTTGACGGCGCTCCCTCTTGGTCAGCTCACACAGGCCTCTGGGCTCTCAACACAAATTTACAGCTTCAAGTCAGCGCTTCTCACTGACCTTCACCCATCGTCCTGATTTGGAAGGATGACGCCCTCTAAGGCCACGGTGTCAGGAGGAAGGATGAATTAAGGGGCTCTGGACTACAGGGAGTCACCCTGCGCCGGGAGCAGGGAAACCCTGGTGACCACACGCCACCCAGTGGCCAGTCCTGCCAGCCGCTTCCGTGAGGGAGCAGGGAGATGCCGGGCTGGGCCGCAGGGCAGTGCCTCCCGACTGGCCATACTCACAGTTGACAGGTCCCTAAGGCTGAGCAGGCAGAGTGAGCTCTACTCACTCAGCCTTTCAGTGCTCTCCGCACATAGTACATAAGGGTGTGGGTTAGACGAAACGTAGGCACAGATCTCAGCTCAGCCACTCACTAGCTGGAGGACCTTGGACAAGGTGCTTTACCCCTCTGGGCCTCCGTTCCCCTCTCTGTGATGGAATAATGCTAGTACCCACCCCGTGGAGTCTGTTCTGAGAAATGCAGATAAGCTAAAACACAAAGGAGTACCTTGCAGAGTCTGACACCTTGTCAGAGCTCAAGAAAGGGTAGCTGCTACTATTATTGCTACTCAGGATAAAGCTACCCAGGCAAGGGTAGGGCCAGAATACTCCGGAGTCTCCAGGGGCTGTGCTGCACAGCAGATGCCCCTGAGCCCGTGCCCCTCAGCCCTCCACTTTCCTCTCTGAGGGCCCTGGCTTCTGGCAGGGAGGACTCCTTCACCCCAAACTCAGTTCCAGCATTGCTGAGGGCAGAAGCTCGGCGGGCACCACTGAGAGGGTGCTGCTTAAGCCTCTGCCCTGCTCGGGCATTTCCCGGGTCTCATTCTCTTCCCTCACACTGGCTGCACCGGTCCCACTGGGAGCCAAACCCAAACCAGCTTTGAGTCCAGCTGAGAGATGCAAGCAGCACACAATAAACAATTCCGCTGCGATGAGTTCTTCAGAGTGGATTGGACTGGGGGGGTAAGGGGACCCCTCTCTGCTTCCTGGGGCCCCGCCTCACGTGTCAGGCAGGAAGACAGCACACAGAACTACGCGAGGACTTTTCCCCTCTGCTCCTCTGGGTCAGCCACCCTGGGCTTCAGCAACGTGAGGACCAAGCGGCTCACAAGCCCTCTGAGGAAAGGCTCTATTATCAGACTGGGCTGAAGAACAGGGGCCCAGTCTGCATGGAACATCTGAGAGGGGCTGAAAGCTGTCTTGCCTTAGACTGGAACAGCACTGTGACAAGCACTTGCCACCTCACAGGGTCCTCGGTGTAACCACAGATGCCCGTCACTAAGCCAAGTGGACCAGAAGGCCAGGACTGGTGGGGAGGGAAGACGGACCAGGCTGGCGGCAGTTCCCGAGGGAGAGGCGCAGACCACCCCCAGAGGTAGTCCCAGCTGCCGCAGACCTGTGCCAGAAGGAGGGGCTCAGACCTGGCTCCCGGGGGCCGGGGGTGGCTGATTCAGCAGTCAGCCTCTGAGGGGGACCAGAGCCCGCACCTGACTCAGCAAGTCCTCGGCAGCCAGAGCCTCGGGATTTAAGTAGGGCAGCACTGGCAGTGGACCTACAGCTGCAGAGAAGGATGCAGGGAGGGAGGGAGGAGGCGGCAGGTGCAGAGGAAAGAGGCAGTCCACATCTCACCTTGAGAGATGAGCAAGGAGCGTGGCAGAGAAGGGGTACAGGCTCTAAAGCTGGGACCCCAGTTCAAATCCTGGCCACGACACCACCAAACAGGAGGCCTAAGGCACATCACTTGAGCGACCTGTACTTCTTAAATGGGGGTGGCACCCGCCACCCTGCGGTGAGATTTAAGAGGATTACATGCCTGACACACGTCAGGTCCTCAGTAAGGAGGAGCTACACTTGGAGGAGTAGCCATGCTGGCAGGAAACTACAAAGGAATAAGGAAGGCACAGCTAAGGCCAGGGAGCTGCGTCAGACTTTGGCCAGAGTCTGGGAGGGAAAAGAGGAGATTCAGAAAAGCCTTCTTTCCTTCACTGGGGTCCGCGGGTCCTGCTTTCCCAGTGACCGCGGCAGGGAGTGAGAGGCCGCACTCCAGGCTTGGCCTGAGGTAGAGGACTCAGGCAGGCAGAGCCAGCTGGGAATATCCCCAGGGCATCAGGCCCTGGGTCCCAGCCACCCCCCTGCACAGGGCGGGGTGGGGGAAGGGGGTTGTCCCTGGTGGTACGGGGCTGACGGGAGAAGGGTGCAGACCGCAGGGCAGCAGCCCATGGTAGACTGGGACAGCCGCGGGTCCAGGTGTCCAGCCCGACCACGAGCTCCTGAGGGAGGGCTGGCCTGGCGCCTGCTTCAGGGATGTGCACTGATCCCGTGTGGTGTGGGGCTGCTGCACAAGGGAGGGCAGGGCCCTGCTCACCTGGGCCAGCACCGCCATGAACTTTTTCAGGGCCACCAGGCGCTGCCCCTCCAGGACAGAGAACTTGGACACTTCTACCTGGAGGATGTAGAGCAGTGCAGATTCCAGGTCAGCCATGTAGATCTTGGAGCTAAGGACCCAGAAGGAGCCAGAGAGAGAAAAGGGTATTAACCATGGGGCAGGGGCTGGGCAGAAGCACCCAGGGCCAAAGGGAGAGAAGAGGAGGCACTACTGATGGTCACAGAGTCCTGTGAGTTAGCACTTGGGGTTGGGGAGGGAAGGACTGGGAGTTTGGGGTTAAAAGATGCAAACTATTACACATCGGATGGATAAACAACAAGGTCCTACTGCATAGCAGAGGGAGCTATATTCAATATCCTGTGATAGACCATAATGCAAAAGAATGTCTGTCTGTGTAGAAATGAGTCACTCTGCTGTACAGCAGAGATTGGCACAGCACTGTAAATCAACTAGACTTCAGTAAAAAAATAAAATAAAATAAGTAAGTTAGCACTTGGCTCTGCCAGTGACTACCTGTGTTATCTTGGGCAAATTACTTAACTTCTCTGAGCCTCAATTCCTTACCTGTAAGATGGGGATAGTAATAACTTGCTCACAGGCAGGTTGCTGAGAGGATTAAACAAAAGCACAAATGTAAAACTCTCAGCACCTCCTGGCACAGAGTAGGGTTCCCCCTCTGCAGGTCCAGGGCCAGCCTCTCCCATCACTCACTAAAGGTGTTTTTATCAGGCCACTAGTAGAAGGTTGAGCTTCATTCTCTGTTCTGAACAAAGATCCCTAGGGACAGACAAGTGGACCAACAGGGGCACACCCACACAACATGGCTCGAGAAGTTGGGTGCTCTTTGAAAGACCAAGGGTTTGGCTGCCCGCCAAGGCTGAGAATGGGGCTGGGGAGAAGGGGAAGTGGGGTTTACATTTATTTTGGCTGACGTCCTTGCAGCCGCCAGACCCTGGGCACCAGGGCTCCATCTTGCATCTCTCGGGCTGACCGCAGCCCTGGGGGAAGGGCTGCAGGCTCCAAGCTGGCTGCTCCAGCCTGTGCCCATCACGCTCTTGTGAGATCTGGGCTCAGGGTCCTGAGGGAAGGGCTGCTTCTCTACCCCTGCCTCCTGACTCCTAGATTCTTGCCTCCTTCTATGGTGGCCTAGCTCTGGGAGCTTGGGCAACTCAACCCTCTGAGCCTCTCCGGCCTCAGTGATCTCACCTGTAAAATGGACTCCTGCCCCACCTGCCCCCTGAGGTGGTGGGGAGCCAACAAGGTCAGCTGATGGGGTGAGCACTGTGGCCACCTGCGCTTTACCCTCGTGCCAAGGTCCCCTCCCTCTGCTCCACTTCCATGTCCTGGGGCCTCAGTTTACCTCTCCGTTCCTGTGTTCTGCCTCAAGGAGTGGCCCCCTGACTAGAGGAGACAATGGACAGAAGTGCCCAGCAGAGCCTGGCACATAAGACTAGAAGTGTCAGCCATAATAGCAATTTGAATGATCTGAATAATCATAATTTGAATGATTATAATGAACATACCCACCTCTTACTTTCTCTTTCCTTCCCACCTGATTTACTACAAACCTCTCCACTAGCACTTTCCACCCTTAAGAGTCTCTCATGTTGGGATGCAAAATCCTTCCCGAAATCCAGTGACCCTGCCCCCAGTTCTCTCGTGCAGCCCCCTTGTGGAAGCCGCTCTCTGGACTCAGCTCTGAGCTGCCTGGTCAGCCATTTCCACATGGTACCATGCTGGGGGCCAGAGCAAGAGGTCTACGGCCCCACCTCCCTGCCCAACAAGCAGAAATTCTACCACCAGGGCACAGCCAAGGAGCCTCAGAGAGAACAGTTACCTCGTGCTTACAACTGTGCACGATGACACTGGCTATCGTGAAAAGTAGTGAACTTCCTGACACCAGAGGCATTCAAGTGAGGTCGGGTGCCTTCCTAGAAGGGATGCTGCGAAGGGACTGTAAACTCTGGGCAGGGCTTGCATCTGCCCTGCACAATCGGTATTTATGGTGCCTAGCACATAGCAGGTACTCAAAAATCTGTGCTGAAGAAATAACTGCTTGGGTGGGAAGTTGTTTTGGAGGCTGCACATTATCCTTCCAAGCTGATTCTACTTGGTCTTGAATAGAGTTAAGCTTAAGGAATGTGGGCATCGGAAAGTATGCGTTCCATCATGAAGAATACAGTCAGCAGACGCTGCAGCCTCCGCACATTTAAGACTCTCCTGTGCGTGGCCAGCGGCCGGGGGCCCCCACAGGCCAAGGCCAGCCCTCGGGGGGTCTGGGCTCAGTATGACACGTGCCAAGCTTGTGACAAGGAACAGAGTAGTGTGGAAGGATTAGAAGAGAGGGTGGGGAAGGGAAAGGAAGAGGAGGCCCGGGCGTGGCCTTACGGATCTGCAACTTTCCACACGGTAGGGGCTATGGGTCTAGAGGTGTCCGGCGCAGCCGTGGTGTTGACAGGCTCACTGGTGTCCCTGGCGAACCTCCGCAGGTACATGGTGTAGAAGAACCTGGATTCCATAAGCCTGTGAGGGAAGGGAGCCATGCGGGAAAGCAGTGAGCACGGAGGAACAAAACCCCAGAGCTAACTCGCGGCAGGAGAGGAGGCGGGTGGCTCACCTGACAGGAATGTTTATTCAGAAATATTTGAACCTGGTTCGGTCTTATCCTCAGTGAGGTAAAACTTGGGGTAGCTCTGCCTCAGGTTAACCTTTATATTCACTGCTCATGCTGTGGAAAGCCTCTCTGACACCAGTCTGAAGTCAAAATCCCACCTGGAAAAGCGGCTGGGCCCGTGAATTCCTCAACCTGCCTCGGAGAGGTGGGGAGACAGGGCACCTTCGGGGGCAGGAGGGCCCTCTGGGGACAGCGCTCCTTCTGGCCACGGACCGGACGGTGGGTTTGACGACCCTCCCCAGAGACCAAAGCTACAAAGTGGCACGTGGCCTCAAGGAAGCTCACAAGCTTGCTCCAAGGTACCAGAGGTGACACTACTCCCCAGGGAGGTCAAGGGAGTTTGATACATGATTTTTAAAAAATAGCAGCAATGACCCCAAACCACGAAATTTCTGACAATCCTTTTGATTTCTCTCTCTCGTCTCATAAAGAGGAGTCCTCGAGGGCAGGTGGCGCCTCCTGGTCAAGGGCCCTGGAGGGAGGGATGTGAAGACCAGCAGCGTGACGGGACACCCCAGGGGACCTGGCACTGGGAAGCACTGCTTTCCACTCCACTGTCCCGGCCCAATGTTTACGGACGAGCAGGTGGCTCAGAAGCAGCGTCGTCACAAACAATTTTCCCCTCCGCCAGCTCCAAGAGAGGAAACAATGCCTCCGCTCCCCACCAGGACCGGCACTTCCTGCCCCTCCCTGTCCCCGCGGCCATCGTCCTGCCCACCCACCCCGCCTCCCCCTGCCAGCGCTCTCTGATGAGGCCTGGCCCAGTGCTGCCAGGTGACTGGGGCCGGGTGAGGGCGAGTGGCCGCGCTGCCCAGCCCTGGTGCAGGAGGATACTAATGGCCCTGAGGAGTGGCTCACTGGACATCTCAGGCCAGCCTTGGTCTCCCTGGCCCTCGCACTCCTGCCTGCAGGGCCGGGTGGACATCAATCATCTGCCCAGGGAGGGCACTGAGGCACCATCTGGCACCATTCAGCAGCGGGAGCCTGACAGAGGGGCTATGGCTGGCCTGATTGTTCTCTCTTGGCATTTCGGAACTGGCTATTGTCTGACTCCTGATGAACTTTTCTGCAATTAGAAAACCAAACGGAGGGAGGGTCAGGCGTAGCTGAGTGCGTGCCAGGCACTTGCAGACTGCCAATGAGTCTGTCTGTGGAGAGAGGAGGATGGGGAATAGGGCCAGGGCCGCGGTGGGGATGGGGCAGAAGCGCCAACGCTGGGTGTTGAGTGCGCCGGGGACCTGAGGCTGAACTGCTGAGATGGGGGCAGCGTTCTGGGCCCAGACTCCTGGCTGTAGCATGCCCACCACCCCACCCACCATAGGCAGATATCTGCTTCTCCTGCAGAGGGTGCCCATGGACTCCTCGGAAGACTCACAGGAGAAAGAACCTGTCAGCCCCTGTGAAAGGCTGGCAGCCTCTCGAGGCAGGAAGAAAGGAGGAGCGTGGGGAGAGGGGAGAGAGGGGACAGAGAGACACTCACACGGGGATCCGGAAGGAAGAGCCATTCCGAAACAGCAGGTAGCAAGATGGGAAGTCCGTGACACCAAACTCGTTCACCACGTCATGCCCCGTGTTCAGAACCCTGCGCACCGCTATGCCCCGGCACTGGGACAGGTCCAGAGTCACCTGCAGAGACAGTGAGACACTTGGCGGTGGGTAGGCCAAGCCACTGGACAGAGGGAAGGCCTGAGCAGGCGCCTGGGTGGCAGCTGTGCTCTACCCAGACTCAAAACCTTTCCAAGAGTAGACTATCGTGACGAGTGAGAGTCTTCTGCCGCCAACCACATCTGCCCCGCTCTAAGGAGTGCAAATGCTGCCTGCTTGGAACGGTGTGGACCACACATCTTGAATCCTTGAGAACAGTCCCAATTTGGTGTAATTTTCTTTCCAATGAGAACAATTTGTAAAAGGCATAAAAAGATGTGGTTTTCAAAAACACACATGCACCCCAATGTTCACTGCAGCACTATTTACAATAGCCAGGTCATGGAAGCAACCTAAATGCCCATCAACAGACGAATGGATAAAGAAGATGTGGTACATATACACAATGGAATATTACTCAGCCATAAGAGGAACGAAATTGGGTTATTTGTAGGGACGTGGATGGACCCAGAGACTGTCATACAGAGTGAAGTAAGTCAGAAAGAGAAAAACAAATATTGTATATTAACGCATATATGTGGAATCTAGAAAAATGGTGCAGATGAACCTGTTTGCAAGGCAGAAACAGAGACACAGATGTAGAGCATAAACATATGGACACCAAGGGGGGAAAGCGGAGGGTGGGCTGAACTGGGAGATTGGGATTGACATATATACACTAATATGTATAACACATAACTAATGAGAACCTGCTGTATAGCACAGGGAACTCTACTCAATGCTCTGTGGTGACCTCAATGGGAAGGAAATCCAAAAAGGAGGGGATTTATGTATACATACAGCTGATTCACTTCGTTGTACAGCAGAAACTAACACAACATTGTAAAGCAACTATACCCCAATAAAAAAAGTAAATTAAAAAAAATGTATGTATCTGATACTTGGAAGAAAATAAAAGTGGTTTCATTTTGTTCTGATATTTGTAAGACTTTCTGTCTATATTCCAAATCGGAAAAACATACTTAGATGTGACGATTTTATTTTTAGAAGGGATTAAGAAGGAGAAATATACTGTTAGGTAATATTTATTAAACAGGTATTATGTTCTGTATATAGATTGCTTCATTTAATCTTCAAAATAATACTTACTATGAAATAGGAACAACTACTAGGAGACCAAGCCAGGTGGTGCAGTATACCATGGCTGCTTGGGTTTAAATCCTGCCCCCACAGACTAAACCTCTCCCAGACTCAACTTCCTTACTTGCAAAATTGTAATAACAATACCCACCTCCAAGGGCTGTTAAGAAGACTGAATGGGTTAGTTTTATAAAAGTGCTTCGCTTCTAACAATGACTAGTAAATAGTTAATGTACGTAAGTATTTCTTTAAAAAAATAAAACTCCTATCGTATAGTAGACGCAAAAATCGAAGCTCAGCAGTGAAATCACGTGATCAGGTCACACATGTAGCAAGCGCCTGAGCTGGGCTGTAAATCCCAGATCGATGTGCCTCCAGAGCTGGGGCTCTTGGCCACTGTGCCCTCCTGACTCTCAAACTAACCATCCCTGGGCACCTCTGCATGGACACGGGATCAGTGCCCTTGGTTACTAGGGGAATGGAGGAGCGTAGGAAGAGCTGATTCCAATGAACATTTATCAATCACCTGTACAGGCATGACCCCAGGCCTGGAATGGGACTCCTTCAGCAAAGCTCCCTGCCCATCCCACCTCCATGCATCCCCTCTCGGGGCTGAGAGGTCTGGAGACAGCTCAGAGCGCTCAACTGTGCTTGGGGAGTTTCAGGAGGAAAACCATTCGGAGTCAACAGTGGTGTTTAATTTCATCCCCTCTCTCTCTATCTCCTTGCACTGCCTTGGAACTTCTCCCAGGCACCGACCCTGTCCCACCTCTGCATCTGGGAAAAGCCCAGTGGCCCGCGAAGTCCGTGAGGCAGCGGTGGAACGGCAGACTCTCTGCATCAGGCCGGGGATGGATCTTTATAAAGCACGTACTCTGTGCCAGTTACTCATCCAGGCTCTTCCTCTAAACCGCCTCACTTGACGCTCCCAAACACACTCTGAAAAAAGGTAACTGTCACCACTACAAAGGCAGGGAAACCGAAGCTCAAGGAAGTTGAGTAACGTGATCACAGACAGCACATAAGTGATGAAGTGGAGATTCCAACCCGCCTGATTCTGTTATCTGCTTCACCTGGGAAGGGACCCCGTTTCCTCAAGAGGGACTAGAGGCTCTCTGATGTTCCCTCCCCCCGCAGATTTTTTACTCCAATTCTTTGCGGGTGGGGTAGTGTGGAAATAACACAAGCTTTGGAGGCAGACAGACCTGGTTTAAAGTCCTGCTCTATCAATTCACTGGCTGTGTGATCTTCCACCTGTTATTTGACCATCTTCGTTAATTAGAAAGATCAGCAACTCCGTGTGTCAGCAATCTAGCGCAATGCTCAATAAAAACAGCAGGTGTTCTCATTCTCAGTTTCCACGAGGAAGATCCAAGCAGACATAAAGGCTTTAAACAGAAAGGTCCAGCTCCTACACTTCCCGTTTCCCCCAGCAGGGGTCAGGCCAGTGCTGGTCTAAGAAGTGCACAGGAACAGCCCTGCTCTTGGCTCTCTCCCAGCGGCTATGCAGGAGCTGTGGGACCCTGCAGGCAGCTCACCTCTCTACCCAGGTAGGAGTCTTCCCTTTCAAAGATCAGGGCCAGGTTATCTTCATCATTTCTTGCAAAGAATCCAGTAATCTCCTCCAGCCTGCAAGAGACAACGCTGGCAGTCACTCTCTCTGTGGTGGGAAGAAAGCAAAACTGCCGGCGACAGCAGACGTGGCTGAACCAGTACCGTGAGTGCGGCCACACACACCTCCTCCTCTGTTTGCACACAAGACTTCGAGGAAGTCTCTCCATGCCAGCCCTCCAGCGGGAGTAAACCAAACCCTGAGTCTCAAAAGATGCTCTCTGCCTATTACCGAAACCTGGTTCTTCACTTCACCCACCTATTTGGGTTGTTTTTTCAGAGTCAGGAGTGCGTACGGGCAGTCTAAGGAGGAGACCCGGGGAGGCACGCTTTGAGACCAGGTGTTTCTATGCTCTGGGTAAGGCCCAGGCTTAGAGAGCAGTTTTTATTGGTCCCCTAAGAAGCTGGTGTTTACTACCCATCAGACACAAGCCTTGATCTGTGCTAAGTCTCTACCCACTGGGAGACGTGCTTTTTCCACTCCTGGAGCAGGCATACAAAAGGAACTAAAGAATCAGAAAGTCCTGGGTACAGGAGATCTTAGAAGCTATCTAATCTTCTTTTAAGATTTTAACCTGCTTATTTTAATACAAGGAAACTAGGGCCCCAGGACGAAGGTGGAAATTAATAAGAAGGCAAATCTTATTATTCCCCCAAATCAAAGAATTAAGATACAAGCTGTTTTTAAAACGCAGAGTTTCAATAGAAAACAACTGCATGATACAAAAATGATCTGTTCCCTTATTTCAATTAAAAGCAGAACATCATCAGACATGTAACAGGAGACAACAGCATCTACTTTTGTCCCCAACCTGATGACCTATTTCCCTCCTCCGGATCCAATGATGTGGCAGTGGTTACCTCCAAACAGAAGGCGCAACATGGGGCCAGTGGAGCCCAGCCCAGCAACAGTACGAACGCCATGCCAGAGAGGTGGGGGCCAGAGTGTACCCCAGTGGGTGGATGGTCACTGACAGCCCCTGGGGTGGTAGCAGGTGGCCTCTCAGGCAACTTCCCCAGACCTCCCCAAGGCTGGCAGAAGAGCGAGCCCACAGACGGCCGACCATGTAACTCGCCCCCATCCCGTCCATTCCCACTCACACTTCTGGAAGAGGCAGCCCACCTTCCACCACAGGTCCCCGCCTCCTCCCTAAAGCTCTCTAGAAGGATCACTTTGAGAGAGGCTGGCAGGTTTACCTGGCTGGTTGCTTTTGAGATCTTCTGGGCTGAAAAGGCACCATGAGGGAGGGTGGGTGTAAGGAAGGGAGAGAGGCAGAGACACGATCATTGAGAAATGGAAGAAGGAACGAGGTGATTCCTGGAGAGATGGGGTCTGGCCGTGGAGCCCCAAACTAAGACCATATACTCAGTCCAGGGGCCCTCTGGGAGGAGGCCCTCTGCGAGGATGGAGAATTGGGAAAGATGATAAAAGAATCATTGTGAGTTGGATTCAACACCAACTGACACCTGGAAACACAGTCCCTCAGCAGGGCCTCAGCTTTCCAGACACCAGCAGACTTAGTGTGGGCGCCGAAGCCCCAGTGTTTGCCTCCTGAGGCCTTCTCAGCATCCAGAACCTTCACTGTGTTCTGTGGCTGGGCTCCCTCTAGCAGCCCCAGCTGGTACTTGGATTTGCTCCTTCTTGGCCCCTTAAGGTGGGCTTTCTCCTATCTGGAATTCTCGTCCAGAAGGGCAGGACCTCGTGTTTTCAATCTACCTGTCTCCTTCTGTGGGAGAGTTAGAGTGAGACACCGTGCACCTCATTATCCTGATTTCCTAGAATAGAGGCGATCCTGGAAGGCTGCCTGGCAGGTAGATAGATGTAGGACACCAGCCACCTGATGCTCTGCAGCCCAGGAAGGAGAGTCACCTCCCCATCCCCCGGTCACTGCTATGGCTCAGGAAATGAGCACCTTCATTTTACAGGGCTTTGTTCTTTTCAGTCCCCCATCCCCTTTCCTCTAAATGGCATCTGGTTTCCCTTTTTCCTCCCCACGCCCACCCTCTCAGGGACCCTCCCTGGGTTAGGTCATGTGAAATCCAGCTGCATCCCTCCGATATTTCAGGTTCTGAGAAGCAGCAGCAGGTATGACCCAGAGAACCCCGCCCGTCTTTTCCTTCCCACTGGGTGGGATGGGCCCTTGCATCCCCATCAGCCCCAGGAAGTCAGGGCTCCTCAGGTAGGACCTCCAGCAATGGGAAGCCCTCCACCAGCTGCTCCAGGCAGCTCTGGGCTCCGGTCCACTGGAGTGTCCACCACTCAGGCAACAGGAAGAACCAGCCCGGTCCCCAGCCCTGCTGTCCCCACTGTCCTCTCACTGCCAGGCCTGCCATCCTGCCACACTGCCCTGGGCCTGCCCCAGCCCCAAATACCTGGCAGGCTCCAGTGGGGGACAAGCGGAGGGCCACGTGTCACTATGGGACTCCAGGGCGTCAATGAGCCTCTCCCGCAGCGTCTGCACGTCAGCACCAGCCACTGTAAATGAAGATGGACACAGGCAAGGGGCGTGAAGAGAGGAGAATGAATCCCAGTGCCCTTGTCAGCTTGCCTCATGGAAGCAAAGGGCCCAGGGCATGAGCTGAGCAAAACAGAGCACATCTCAGTCCTCCTCTGTACGAGGGGCAGGGGCATCCCACCCCTGTGGTCCTAAGCATGGCAGGGGGACCCATCCCTCAGGGCAGGCGAGAGTCCCTCAGACCTGGGCCCTGAGGGCCCTCCCTACGCTATCTGGCTGCCCCTCTGGATGTCAACCCCACTTTGACAAGAAGGGCTATTCTGGGGACATGTGACCCTCCCTGCTTCCCAGATGGGCCCAAACGGAAGGGCTTCTTCAGCCTTGCTTTCCCAAAGGCATCTTCCAGGCTGGCTGGGAACGACATTTCCAGGAAAACACAAATTTGGCTTTCACTGGGGACCTCCTCACCCCGCAGACCTGGCTGGGCTCTCTTCACCCCAGGAGAAGCCCAGGCGAAAGAGGGGGAGAAAGATGCTAATGGCGCCAATGAGACCCCGCGAGCTGGGACACCCACCTGACAGTGTAGCTCCTGAGCCGGTCTTGGAAGAGGCCTTAAAGAACTGGAAGCAAACACACAGAAGAGTCAGTGGAGCTAAGAGCACAACACCCACGCCAGTTGAGCGCTCTATGTTTGAGACCCAGCTGCTTACTAAACGGGGTAACTTTGGGGAAATGACTTAACTTTTGTGAGCCTCAGTTTCTTCACCTGTAAAATGAGAGCAGGAGGTCTCTGCTCTTGGAGCGGGACCCTGGTTCCTCTCCCTGGTGTCCTGCATCTGATCCCCACCCTCACAGCTCTGGTGCACCCCGGGAAGCTGCGGCTCAGACACTTGGCTGAGGGGGGTCTGTTTCTACGAAGTGCCGGGACCCGGCACATAGGGACTAGAATATAGTTGCTCTATAAATAAGTGATGCAGACCCATCCGAAAAAATAAAGTGAAGTCACTTCATACCCCCCACGCACACCCTGGACAAGGTTAGCTGCTCTCTGAGGGGATCTGTCCTGGTTCCTTATCTTGGAAAAGGGGCAGCAAGGTTCATGTCTCTGGCCACCGAGGACTCCCAGCCTGGCTCAGCAGACACTCCAGAAGGGAGGGGTGTCCAGTTTGGTTCTACTGAGGGGTGGGCTTGAGCCCCTGAAGAGACAAGCCTTATTACAGACGGGCCAGTTTAACTCTCTCCCCATGTACATGACACCCAGGCCCAGTCTGTTGCCTCCCTGGGAGAGAGGACAGAGAGAACAGAGGACAACTCCTTAGAATTTGAGCTCCTGTCTAAACGGTGGGAGAGCTGCCAGAACTCTGGCTTGTGCTCTCCTGGGCTCAGGAGGTAACAGAGTTCAGTTGTCCTGAGAGATGGCCACTTAACTGCCTAGGGAAGAGCCTGCAGTCTGGGAAGAGGCCTCCTCTTGAGGTCCCTAACCTTGGGGCTACTTGTAGCCACCTTGGGCGTCTGCCGACTAGCACGGCTGCTCGGCCTTATCCCAAGCTGGTGGCTGAATGCAGGCCCTCAGGTCTACCGGACCTGGGTTCAAGGCCTGGCTCTGCTATGCTCTTGCTGTGTGACCTTGGGTACTCTATTAACCTCTCTGAACCTTCTCATCTTTAAGATGAGGATGACACCATCTACCTTGGAGAATTGCTGCGAGGATTCAATGACAATACATCCAAAGTGCTTAGCACTGTACCTGGTGCACACAGTAAGAAATCAATAAATGTTAACATTATCACTATTATATCATCATCAGCCCCTTCCCCTGTTCCATAGAAACACTAGGAAACACTGATCAGCTAGATCTGTCGGTTCTAGCCATTTGTAGGCAGAAAACTGAAATCTGGAGGCCACCTGCCCCCCTCTCCCACATGAACAACAAAGATGCAGAGAAGCCGCCCATCTCTCCCCACCTGCAACCTTCTCCCGCTACTGCTGACCTCACCTGGACCCTGTTTTATTCTCTCTCTACTTAGAGCATTAATATAAACTTTTATTCTGGGTGAAAACCAGCCACTGACACATGCCACATATATTCATAATAGTGTTCTTCGCAGTCACTCAATACATTTTGAATGAATAAAAGTATGCTTATGCTTGTAAAAACGAGCACAGTTTTCTAGGACTGTGACATGAAATCAAGTAGATAAAGCATGTTAAGGCATTTATGGGCTGACACTGTTTCTCAGGAACAAAATAAAAGACACACCTATTTGGGGTCTGGTTTGCTCACAGATAATAACTCAGAGGATGACCTTTACAGCTGCAGTTATTCACGGTGATGGTGCCCTTGTACAGACAGAATAGACTTCAACTTGCTTCCACAGGCATAAAAACATGACTGACATCCTGACGCCTTAAGCCATGTGGCTCTCCATGGCTACAGGTGTTACTGTCACAGCTACTGTAAAGTAGTGTGGTTGACTCTCCTTCAACCATCAGGTCTCCAAGATCTGAGCAGGTGCCTTATGAAAAGGGGCTGGCACTACTTCCATCCAAGGGCAGCCTCCCCAGACCCCAGCTGAGCCTTCTGAAGGCCCCAGCCGTGGGCAGTGGGGAGTCAGACAGGAGCCTGCAATAGGGGAGTGCAGGAATTCCAAGAGCTCCCCTCCTTCATGAGGTGCAGGGCTACAGGGAAGGCCCCCTCCTCTCTCCAGTTACTTCAGTCATGAAGCCTTCCCTTCTGTCCCCAGAAGCTTCCCAGCCACCTTCCAGAACAATGTCACCAAGTGAGGGCTGGTTCCCATACCTCACACTCTAGAGGAACTTTTTCCTATCAGTTAATCTCTCTTTCATCTTTCCCCTTGTCCACCAGCTCCTTCCCTATGCCTGCAAACAGGTTCAGATCCTCCTAATCTAAAGTTAAAAAAAAAAAAAAAAAAAGAACACGAAGGGATGGAGGATGGGAACAGAGGCTTCTCCAGTTTCTGCATGTCCCATTTCCCGGTGCCACCAAATTTCTCAAAACAGTGTCTGCCCTCAGTCCTCTCCCTTCCCGCGAAGCTGGCTGCGGCTCATGCCCCCACCACTCAGCTGGGACCACTCCAGAAAAGCTCGGCTGACCTTCTCTTTGGCTGGTCCAATGACCTTCCAGCCCTTCCTGCTCTCTCTGCAGTATCTGATGCTATCACTGCCCGTTTCTCCCCCGTCGGCCAGGGTTTTTTTTGTGCCACATCTTCCCGCCACTCTTCTTTGCCTTCATGTCAGCACCCTCCCTTGGTTTTCCTGACACTGCCCAGGCCTTCACGGCCACCTGCACAGCCTTCCCCTCGCCCTTGTCCCAGCTTTGCTCTGGACTCCTCTCCTGTGCCATCTCCTGCCCCCAGTTTCTCCTCCAGCCACGTGTCGCATCATGGCACTCTTCTGTTTAAAAAGCCCTGGGAGGCGCTGTCACAAACAAGGCGCTCAAGCTATGCTTTGGAATGAATGAGTGAATAAACGGGTGAATGGACAAACCAACCCATTGTCTGTCTCCCTTGCTGATGTCATCTACCTTGTCCAAATGGCTTGTGACCTGAACCCTGTCTCAGGTCCTCACCTGTCTTAACTTGTTTCTTCCAGGTGTCAGGGCAGCCCTCCCCCAGTACACACACACTCTGCAAGACTGAGTCACCCCTCCCACAACCTGTTTCTCCACCCATGTTCCTTCCCTCACCCAGTGATCGCCCTCCTCCCCATCACCCAGACCAGCATCTCCCTCTCCCACAATGCCTGTGGTCTGTGAACTTGACCTTTGTGACATCTCTTCTACAGTCCTTGAGACCAGTTGCCTTTTCTAGACCAGAGCCTACCACCTACTTCCTGGACCACTACAACTGTCTCTACCTGTCCCCACCTCATGCCCTCAGAAATGGTCATATGCTCCATCTTTTCAAATGATGGAGCCATCACCCTCACTGCCACCTTGTTTGGGTTTCTAAGGGACAGTTCTGGTCTGATCATGTCCCTCCTCCTCAAAGCCCTTCCATGACTCCCTACTGTCAAGGAATAATGTCCAAACTCAGAGCGTTCGAGGCCTTCCAGGATCTGCCTCCACCCACACTTACCTCCCACTGCCCCGCCCCCATTCCCTACATTTCAGCTACGATGGACTTGAACCCGCACTTCCCACCCACCCACCTCCCACCTGGGAGGGCAGGACTATAGCTTATTCACCTCTGCAAGCCCCACAGTGCCTGGCACAGTGTCTAGGACAGGGAAACACTCAAAGGACATCTGTTCAGTTGAACAGAGAATCTCTACCCTTTGATCAGCTTGGAAGCTCATGCAAAAATCACATTAAAATCGAGTCAGGGCACGTTTTTGTCCTCTTATTAATCTGCATCCTTATTAAGTCAGCTGTTGGAGGCGTGTGCCCTACCCTAGGGAAAGGGCCACCACTCCTTGGAAACAGGCAATTAAGACTCCAGCAGGGAGTTTCCTTTCCTCCAGAAGTGGTCAGCACCCAGTCCCTTTCCTCTCAACACCTGACACAGGAGCTCCTGCCCCTCCCCAACCATGGAGGCCCTGGAATCCTGTCTCCTCAAAGGCAGGTGACCAGATGGCATTGGGCAGGTCTTTACCAACCTATCCAGGAGCAACTGCCTTCCTGGGGGCCAAATAAGGCTAAACAGAAAGCACGCTTTGCAGTGGCAACCATCAATGGTACTGAATCCAAGCTTTCAAAACAAGTTTTAAGGACAGTGACCTCCAAATACCTTACAGTGGGCCTGCGAGGATGCACAAGCTTAACCATTCCTACCTTGTGGGCCATCAGTGGAGGAGAGACCTGGGAGAGGGCAGGTGACTGCTGAGAGGGGGGCCTATCGCCTTTTTCCAGAGAGAGGCAGGAGATGTCTTTCTGAGTCCTGTCCCCCTCCCTGACATCTCACAAGAGCCACAAAAGTAACAGCCCAGACGGTACTCCCCACTCCCAGCCTTGAATTCAAGGACTTGCCATCCCTGGGCTCCCTCCTTCCGGGGTCCTGCCTCAACCCCACCCAAGAGCCTCTGCTCCAGCCAGACCAGCCTTCTCAACTCCCCACACGGTTCCACCCACATCCTCTGCTCTCACATCCTGCCCGCATTCCTCCTCTCTCCCAGCCAAACTCCACCCACTCGGAAGTCCCCCTCCTCCGGGAACTCCTCCTCCCCCATGAAGTCCTCTCTGATGTGGGAAGGAAAGAACTCAGTGACCCCAGGCAAACTCCTCCTGCGTTCACCATGTACACATCACTCCCTGCCTGTCAACTAGCTGGGAGCTCTGAGTGCCCTTGTGTGCAGCGCCTTCCTGTCTGGCCGGCCTCGCTTATGTTTCTGGCCAAGGCCTACAGGTCTGGCTTCTCCATGATGATGAGCACAGTGCTGTGCCCCGAGCAAACATTCACTCAACAGCTGTTGATGGATGTACTGCCTCAAATGGGGTATCACAGAGGGGCTACCACGAGCCCATAGGGCAACAGGAAGGAAGACAACTAACATTTATGGATTTGGCTAATACCACAGTGTCTTGGCACTCTCACACGTAAGACCTCATTTCATAGTTGGCAACAATCCTGTTAGGTAGATATTATCATCCCATTTTTCAGACAAAGTAACTGAGGCCAGCGGCTAGGGCATTAAATGACTTCCTGAGTCACAGTAAGCAGGGGAGCCAGGATTTGAACTCGTGTCAATTATCTCCTCAGAATCTTGCAAAGGGAAGACTTCTGTCCTCTCCCACCCAATGCTGCTGCTTCCTGTAATCTTGATCCCAGCCAGGCCTTTGGCTACAAAGGGTCCTACTCCATTACCCACTGAGGGGCACTCCTGCAGCCCACTGGCAAAGCCTCTACCCCTGAAGTTCCAGCCTCTAGGTCCCCAAGCTCCAGCCAAAACCAGCTTTAAGCTACCTTTCCCTCCCTCCCCTCTGTTCTCTTCCAGATGGGCACCGGCTCCAGTCTGATAGGGCCCTGACACAGCTGGCCTGCCTTGCAGGGCCAGTTGTTTGCTAAACAGGCTGGGCTGGTAGAAGGTCACTGTTTGCTCACGGAGACAAGGCGCAGGAGGCAGAGGAAAGGGACAATGACACATGTTACTGGGAGTGGCCATACTCTTGTACGGGCCTGTCCCTGTCATACCCACGACACTCACTCCCCCTGTTCAACACACGCCCTCATCTTAGAGCTCTCAGCCTTGATGGGTGGGAGTGAGGACAGGCTCCAGTCCCCAGGGGATGGCAGACAGGTGCAGGGCCATCTCTCTGGCCTGCTGGCAGCCAGCAGGTGTACTGCTCGGTACACCTGCTCGGGTGTACTGCTTCCCAGGGAGTCCAGCCACACAGCCCACATGCACACCGGGCTCTCAACCAGCCAGAATCTCTGGAGATCTGGAATCTGAGTCGTGTTTTCCAAACACTAGAAGTAATCTAGTGGTAAGTTGTAAAATCAAGTTAGTGAATCACAGCCAGTACTTTTTAAAAAATACATAGAACACAAAATAGCATGTACTGCACTTACGAAGAATATTTTATGAAACACTTGTTTTAGGGATAACAGATACAAACCAACTTCTGGATCTCACTGTAAATGTTGTAGGTCACAGTAACAATGTTTGAAAGCCACTGCTTAGGGCCTTAGAACAGAGACTGATCAGGAGCTAGAACCACTTGCACCCTGGACCAGAGCCCTAAGGACAGGGCACAGAGCCCCTCTCCCTGCTGAAACTGAAGTGCAGGCTCCTCAGGAGAGGCTGGGAGGTCACAACACTGGTCTCTGGAGCTTACCAGCCCAGCTCAGCCCAGCCCAGCCAGATGCCACCAGTGTGAGGGCAGTTAAGGAGCCCAGCTTAGGGCCCTGCCAGCACCCCTCCCACAGCAGGATGGGCAGTTGAGGAGATGATTAGTCACTTGGGGCACTCAGGCTGTGTGTGCTGAATGACTCAGATAGGTGCTGAGAAGCTTCTGGATCTCCCGACATACCTGAGCCATCTCCTTCCAACCCCCCGAGCCCCAGCCTCTTTCAGACAGAAACAGAATGCCCCAGGCACCAGCCCCCACCGAACCCCCACAGGATGTCCCGACCTGGCCACGGGACCAATGCCAACCCCCTTCCCCTGTGCAGGGACTCCTGCTGCCACACTGATCTTGCCCCAGCTTCCCGTGTGGGGCTGCTTGCCCTACCTCAGCAGAAGGAACAGAGGGCTCCGTCCTCCCCTTGGAGAGTAATTTTGAACATTTTAAGTTACACATCTTGGGGCCAAGGATAGGACAATGGCCTGTCATGGAAGCCTTTTACTTAAAAGAGACAGTTGACAAACAATGTCTCCGCTGCCACCTCTAAATGATACGGCAGTAGCTGTTGGCTCAGGACACTTCCCCAGGCCAGCTGAATGGGGGCTTGGGCCCTGACCCTAAGTGGTAACAGGAGTGTGGGAGGGAGCTCTCCGGGGCTGTGGAAACTCTGAACCCAGCAGGATTTCACTGGCCGTGAGAACAGAAAGGTCACATGGAGTTAGAGCTGGACCTTGCTGGAGGGGCCTGGGGCCTTGCTCTCCAGATAAATTCTCCTGGCGTCATCAGGCTCAGATATGGTTCATGGTTCTGCCTGGCAACTGAAGCCCCTGAACTCAGAGATATCTTGTTCCAGGGACAATGCTTGGCTTTTCAGTCTTCAAAGGCATTTCCTGATTATTCTTTTTTTTTTTTTTTTTTAAAGACACATTTACTCAGATCTGAGTAATATTCCATTGTATATATGTACCACATCTTCTTTTTTCTTTTTTTTTAAAAAAAGACATTTATTCAGCGTCATGATCAGACTATTACATTTAGCAATCAACAGCATGGGTGCAAAAAATATATATATATATACATTAAAACGCTTTGTTGGAATGCTTTACACTTTCCACAGAACAGAAACTAAAATAACCTGTTATACAATTAGTCACAAACACAGTGCTCGAGTGTTTTTGCCCATACACATGGGTATTGTCTAAAACATGTCTTCTTTGTAGCAGCTAGGCTCTGCCACCACTGTGCTTGGCTGAGTTCACAAATCTGTTGTAACCTGTAGCTTCCCTGTCACTTCTCTGGCTATCCTCTCCTGCTAAGCTTTGTTTCCTGGCAATCAAAACCTGCCACTGCCATAGCTACTGCTGCTGCTGGAACCACCATAGCCACCTTGGTTTTGGGGTTTGGCAAAGTATTGGCCTCCACCACCATAGGGGCCAGAACTTCTGCCTCCAAAGTTTCCTCCTTTCATGGGTCCAAAATTTGAAGATTGATTGTTGTAACTGCCAGAATCATCGTAGCTTCCACCACCTCCAAAACTGCTTCCATCGTTACCAAATCCATTATAGCCGTCCCCACTGCCACCACAGCCGCCACCACTGCGGCTGCCACCAAAGCCAGCTCGACCACTGAAGTTTCCTCCACGACCAAAGCTGTCATTCCCACCAAAACCCCCTCCACGACCACCACCAAAGTTTCCAGAACCACTTCGACCTCTTTGGCTGGATGAGGCACTAGCTGTCTCTTGCTGAGATAGGGCTTTCCTTACTTCACAGTTGTGGCCATTCACAGTGTGGTATTTCTGAATGACAACCTTGTCTACAGAGTCACGGTCATCAAAGGTTACAAAAGCAAAGCCTCTCTTTTTGCCACTGCCTCGATCAGTCATGATTTCAATCACTTCAGTTTTCCCATACTGTTCAAAATAATCTCTTAGGTGATGTTCTTCAGGGTCTCCTTTAATGCCACCAACAGAAATCTTTTTCACAGTTAAGTGGGCACCAGGTCTTTGAGAATCTTCTCTTGAGACGGCCCTCTTTGGTTCCCCAACTCTTCCATCCACCTCGTGTGGCCTTGCCTTCATGGCCGCACCCACCTCCTCCACAGTGGCATGTGTGACAACCCCGAAGCCTCTGGAGCGCCTGGTGCTTGGATCCCTCGTTACTGCACAGTCTGTGAGCGCTCCCCGCTGCTCACAATGGCTCCTCAGACTGTCATCGGTTGTTTCCAAGCTCAAACCTCCGATGCAGAGCTTCCGCAGCTGTTCGGGCTCTTTGGGTGACTCTGACTTAGACACGACGGCAGTGGAGGCGGCGGGCGGGGGCGGGCAGGGAGACATCAACGATGCTTACTCGGCGGCGTCCATGGGCAGAAAGGAGATCTACCAAACGTACCTGCTGATTATTCTTAGTGGCCACAGAGGAAATTGCTTTTCTAGATGCCATTCTGGTGGGAGCAGGCTAATTATTTATAGGTGGAGAGAGAGATTTGGATTTGGATTCTTTAATTTGGAAGAGAAATAACTGGATTACGGCTGGGCCTGAGCTCTGGGGAGGGTGCTAAGTATAATGGCACAGCCTTGCTGCTCTGGGCTTCCCAGGGCCTCTGATGTGAGAGCCTTGGAAGTTGTCCAGATGTTAATTAAGTGGTTGGTGCCCCGCGGTGGGCAGGTTGGCAGGCAAGGCCTCATCAGAGAGCTCATGCTACTTGCAGCCAGAGCCGGGGTGACGGGGCCCTCGTGTGTTGGATGTGATGTCTTTCATGATGGAGATCCCTGCTGCCCGAGGCACTGGGCTAAGGCTCTCTTGCCCGGTCACTTCTGAGCCTCTTGGATTCAAGGCACTTGCCTGATGAGGATGAGGCTGGCCAGTTGTCTCAGGGGACCTTTTCTGGTGGACCATGAGACCCCCTGAGTCTGATCCTGCCTACAGGTGGGTCAGAGCCTAAAGCCTGGTTTTACAGGGTTTAGATCAGCCCTCTAAGGCTGGGAGGTCAGGCGGGAGAGGAATTGATTGGAAAGAGGCCCCTGGGGGCTGGGAGCTCTCACCAGCTCAGGTGATGATCAGTTCTCACAGCTACAATCTGCCCATCCCAACACAACCACACACAGCCCCTTTTCCTTATAATGGGGAGAATGTGCCAGACCAAGTGAGCCTCTTTCTTTTCTGCCTCCCAGCTCACAATCCCTTTCTGCCTCTAAATAGGTACGTGCTCCAGGGGCTGTGATTCAAGCAGGTCAAGCCCAGGAGCCTGGGAGGACACCACAGAGCCCAGCAGTCAGGCAGACACCAGGGAAGCATGGAGCAGCTGACAATGTGCTCCGACAGCACTGCCCCCAAGCCCGCTCACCCCTCCTGGTCACACACCCTCACAGTCGGGAAGCCAGTGATGTTGAAGTCTCTGCAGACTGCGATGTTGGTCTGCTGAGCACAGTCCAGGGCAGCGAGATTCAGCACCGGCCTCCAACCTGAAAGGACAAAAAAAAAAACCCGAGGTAAGTAAGAGGGGCTGGCACCTCTGCCTGCTGACATCGCCCACGCAACACCCCACCGCCACTAGTGCCCACGGCACCTGCCTCCAAAGCTCTTAGGAGAAAGGTCACCCCTTCCTCAAAACACGGCCTCTGAGATAGTTGGGTTATTCTGCATTTAGCCTGTGCTTAGGACACGGTTAAATAGCACCAGTAACCCACTCAGAACAGCAAGCTGTGTCCCCCGTTGTTCTGCAGTGGGGGAGGGGCACAGGGGCTGGAGGAGCTGAAGAGAGGTATGAGATGAGCCTGGCCCTCTTGGGGAAAAGCCCCTGGGATACTGCCTCTGTCTCTGCTGCCCTCTAGAGAGGATCAGTTCCAGAAGGGTGAAGAGCACGCCTCAGGAGTGCTGAGTTCCCCCATGGACCCTCAGTGAAGGCCTCTGAGGCCAGAGGTAGTGGCCATCAGCCCAGCTTGGGTGGATGGGACACAGGGTGGTGGGGACCGGCCCCCCGGCCAGAGGTGGAGGCAGAAGTCCAAGGGAAGAAGGCGAAGACACCTGGGATCTAGAAGCCACAGGGAAAGAAGCCCTGAGGCCAGAGTCTGGAAGATAAGAGCTCCCCAGGCCGGCTGCCTGGGCACCCTGCTCCTTCATCAGGCCCCAGGCCACAAGGCCTCCCTCCGCTGGAACTTACTGGCAGAGAGAACAATGGCACCGTTCTGGGCCACAGCTCCGGCTCTGGGAAACAGAAAACAAACTCATCTACCGGGCAGGCCTCCTGAGCTCCGGTTCCAGGTCAGGTGCCCCGGGAGCACCTACCAAAGTGCCACACTACAGTGAGGCTGCTCCCGCCGGGATGGAGGATGTGCACATGAAGCTGCACAGACGGTGAGCTGGCAATGCACTGGTGCCACGCCGTGTGGCACGGGGCTGTGAAGGAACGTGGCCGCAGGGGAGACCAACCCTGGGCACCAAGCAGGGCCCTGGCAGGAAAGGCGAGAACCGAGTGGAGCCCTGACCGTCAGTCCAGGTGACAGGCAACCAGGGCACGGGGTGAGCAGACGAGGACGGGAGAGTGGACAGGGCTGCAGAGGCGACGCCGCGGGAAGGCAGGCAGGGGCCAGCATGGGCGTGCCGGCCTGGGGTTCAGGGCTGGCTCCCCAGCACCCTCCCCAACGCGGACATCTCCAGGCCGATGAGGGAAGGGGCAAGCCTGCCTGAGGAGTGGGGGAGGGCACACATGCTCCCCACAGGGCCCTACCCCTCCCATCTGGAGCACAGGATGGGGTGGGTGGACTTACACAGGCAGCTCACGCAGAACTCGCTAATGACAGAAGACTAATATCCAAATAACATCCCTGAGACCTGTGGCTTTGCCGGCACCTCTTACCTCGCCCCAGAACCTGTCCCTTACAACATCTGAAAAACCACTATTTCCAAAGGCATCAGAGCTCCCGGAACCGTTTATGCCCAGGGGAGGAGTGTCACCCTCACTTCCACGACAGATGTATGGAAGAGCCAGGATGCCTCCCAGACACCCCTGACCCATCCCTCAAAGGAAAGGCTCCGAAGGTTCAGAGCAACTAAGCTGGTCCTTCTTGGGGTGACACGAGGGAGGGGGGCCTGGCACTGTGAGGCAGGCCAGAGGCAACACCCGCTCCCTCCCCAGCCCCTCTCCCCTTCTCCTTTCTTGCTGGCTATGGACTCTGGGCACTGAATCCTGGTGGGAGGGAGGGAGTGGGGATGGGGGAGTGGGGTGTGAATGGAAATGTTCAGCAGAGACAGGTGAGCCACACACTACGATGCCATTTCCCCAACATCCCCTGCTACCCCATCTCACCAAACCCCCTTCTGGGGAGCTCTTGGCTCCCCTAGCACAGGAGGGCAACAGTTTGAGCTACAAATACACGCCAACCTGAATGGCCTGCATCCTTCAGCTTTACATCTAGCTGGAAGGGCAGCCTGCTGTGGTCAGTCACCAGGGTCTGCTCCACACTGGGCTCAGCACAGCATCCCTCCTGCCCTTCCTGACACTCTGCTCTCCCCTGACCCCTCCCCCACTGTCAGCACCACGTAGGAGGGACAGAGTCAGGCAGTCCAGCCACGCGGAACCAATAATCCCAACCAGCTTCCTGTCCTGTCCACCCTCCCTCCCGAGTCTCTTCCTGCCCTCCCCCATGTCTCCTCTCCCCACCCCCGGGTTCTTTACCTCTCACGTCGCCTCTAACCCAACCTCCTAGTGAGCTAGTGCAGGGTTTCTTGTCCAAATGAAATGTCTCATTTCCCTCCTGGCCAAGGTTGTAATATGCTCCATCACCAGCCTACCCAGCCACCAGTGATCTTTTCTATCTGCAGATCTATGTCACTCTCTACTCAATATTCTTTGGTGGCTCCCATTGCCTCCAGAAGAAAACTCAACAGGCAGCAGGCCATTCTTAATCTGGTCCCTCCCCACCCAGCTTCCTCTTACCATTTCCCCAAATTATGCTCCAGGAACGCTGAAAGTTTTCTCCTTCCTTGAAAGCACAATGCTCATCTAGGCTACTCCCACAGCCACCTCTACCCTCCCAACAAACTCCCAGTTGTCAGGTACAACTCAGTTTGAACGGGATTCTTCCCCCCAGGAAGAGCTGCCTTCCAAGCCCAAGGCTCAGGACCCTGTTCTCGTTTCCACCACACAGTTACACGCCTGTCCATCCCTAAATGTCTCTTCATCCTTGCATCCTCCTTGCCTAGCTTCCCCATTATCCTGCACACAATAGGTGCTCAGTGACTATCGACTGAATTACACAACTGACCCAGTCCCGGGGCCGCTACAGGGCTGGAACATCTTCTCTCAGCCTTACTCTATCCTCAGGTCCAGGCAGGGGGTGAGGTTAATGGCCATCACCTGTGAATGCAGGAGAAGTGAGCTGCCCAGGGATGGGGTTTTGCCCTGGATCACAGGCAGAGCACCCCAGGCCTCCTTTCTATGGCTCCTCTCCTGCCCAAGGGAGGCCCAGCAGAGGGTGGGAAGCACAGGTCACCCTGTAGGGTCATCTGGCACATTTCAGGCTTGGCTCCAGCTCTGCATCTAGGGCTTTTTTCAGGGAGACCCCCAGGAGAGGCCCGGCTGTTCCCAAAAGAATCAGCAAGTCAATTAGACCTAAGCGTAGAAGAGTGGCACTTTTGTGTCCTTCCACCAGTGAGGGCCCCTGGCAGGGGGTCTCATAAGGCCACTTGGCAGGGACCAAGGACAGCAGGCCTCAACCACTCCACTCCTCTCTCCAAGAGTGCAGGCCGCCATCCCTCGGGCCAGAGTGGTTGTTTGCTGCCCGCTGGGGCATGAGGCTCTGAAGGCACAGGGAGAGGAGAGGACAGAAAGCTAGTGTTCAGCGAGCGTCCACAGATTTTGTGTCCTCCAGATTTGTGTCCTCCAGAAAATCTGTCCTCCAGATTCTCCCACTCCACCACCGCCATTGGAGGTGGGCACCATTTTACCCGCTTTACAAACGAGGACAGAGACCAAGAGACCTCCAAGTGGTCCCAGGGCTACCAGACCCAAAACCCCACTTTTGTCTCTCTGCCTCACCAGGGTCAGGATGCTACCTTTATACTTTTGCTGTCTGCTCCAGTCACAACCTTCCCCATGAGAGAGAAAATGGTTAAGACAGTTTCCTCTTCTAGCTACATACCATTCTCTGTAACGCCCAAGAGTTGGTCAAGTATCATAGACTCAGCCTTTACTTAGATGATAGTGATACCAGGCATATACAGAGTTTATCATGTGCCCAACGTATGTAGTTTAATGTGCGCAGCTACGCTATGAAGAAAGTAAGGAGGTATTTATTCATCTCTAGACCTGATTTCCTAGACTGTAAAATAGAGATCAGATAACTGTGCCCGAAGCACACAACTAATCAGTCGTGAACGTGGGATCTGAACCCAGGATCTGAGCCTCCCCGGTGGTCTCAAGAGGGCCCAGGACACAACAGAGAGCTTCTCTATTCCCAGCCAGGAAACTCAGAGGGGACAGGGTGGGGTGGGTGTTAGTAATGGGGATGGAGGCGGGAGGTGATGCCTGAGAGTTCTCAGCTCCCAGCTCCTGGAAGGTCCATGACTCCTTTCTCTTTATGCCTTGATTCCCTGTACCTCCACGAAATGGAACCGGTGCCTCTTCTTACCAGCTCCAGCCCGAGGAGGAGGGGGAGGGGGAGCCTGGGGCCGGTCAGGTGCTGGGAGAGTCCGGGCTGAGAAATGTTTCCCAGGAATATCAACGTCAATACCTTAATGAGCCATAATGACCTATAAAGCTCTGTTTTGACCCTAATCACTGCAGGCCTGACTATTCGTCATTCTAGTAACAGTACCAGGAATAGAGAGGACCCTTACCTGGGTGCTCCACTGGTAAAGCAAAGCTGCATTTACGGGAAGTGCACTGCTGTCAAAGAGGTACAGAGCTGGGTGAGAGAGGCTTTTTAAAGTGTCAGGTGACTTAATACCACAACCCGCAGGCCTAACACCAAAAGGATTAGCAGTCTCAGTCCAGCCCTACTCTTAGGGAGAAAAAAAACTTTCCTGGTGCAATTACTGCCTTGGCAAAGTAATCTCCCCACTGACAGAGTAAATGAGCAAATGGAGCGGACGGGAGGGGAGGTTAAGTATAGGCAGCACAGCTGCGGACCCTGGGTGGCGGGACAGGGGATGCTTTCTGGTGAGGGGGATGGGCTCCTTCTGGAGTCACAGGCGGCACACCCACCCCACTCACAAGGCCAGGAAGGGGCACTGGACCCAGAGTCACAGGGCTTGCAGACAGCTGCAACTGGTCGAAGCACCATGAGCTCCACATGTCTCCTCTCTGGGTCTCCGTTTCCTCACTGGTCACACGAGGGCCAAGATGAAGGTGTCTCAAGTCCTTCCCAGCTCTGACAACCACGGGGGTGCCGGATGGCAAAACACTCTCGCCAAGAAGCATGGCCGTGAGGCCTCTGAGTGCTAAGCAGCTTGGGCCTCTATTAAGGCAGGGGCCAGACCCACCCAAACCACAAGAGCCAGTCAGGTCGAGAGGTCAGAACGAGACCCCCGCCTGAGTCTCCGGGAGTCCTCCTGACACAGGGAGTTGGCCAGGCCTATGCCATTACCACGACATCCCTTCCTCCTTGTTGCTGGCTTCTGGGCAGTGAGGTCACGACATGGACAAAACGCCTTCCCCGCCCCTCACACCTGGATGACACCCCAGGTCTGAGTCAAGAGGAGCCACGGCAGCCCCAGAAGACCTGGTCACTCACAGCCTCATCTGGAATCCTGTGAGGCTTGTGCCATCGGTCTGCATGAGTGGTCAGTGAGCTGCTACCCTGCGCCAGGCTCTGCACTAGTAGCGCACGGGTACAAGCAGGAGAGGACGGCCCTGGGAGAGAAAAGGAGGAAACCCACACTGCTTGCTGTCACTCAACACCCACGCCTTACAAATCTCATCTCCACACTCTGCACAGGTCCTTTTTCCACCTGGAGTACCTTCCTCCTTCTCCCCCCTCTCCACCTGCCCAGGCTCTGGAGAGTCAGGAAGAGCTGGGTTCAAGAACCTCCTCCAGGGACTTCCCTGGTGGCACAGTGGTTAAGAATCTGCCTGCCAATGCAGGGGATACAGGTTCAAGCCCTGGTCTGGGAAGATGCCACATGCCGCGGAGCAACTAAGCCCGTGAGCCACAACTACTGAGCCCATGAGCCACAGCTATTGAGCCAGTGTGCCACAACTACTGAAGCCCACGGGCCTAGAGCCCATGCTCCACAACAAGAGAAGCCACTGCAAAGAGAAGCCTGCGCACCACAACCAAGAGTAGCCCCCACTCGCTGCAACAAGAGAAAGCTTGCACACAGCAACAAAGACCCAACGCAGCCAAAAATAAATAAATAGATAAATAAATTTATTAAAAAAAAAAAAAGAACCTCCTCCAGGGACTTCCCTGGTGGTCCAGTGGTTAAGACACTGTGCTTCCACTGCAGTGGGTGTGGGTTTGATCCCTGGTCTGGGAACTGAGATACCACATGCTGCATGGTGGGGCCAAAAATAGAAAAATAAAAAAAGAACCCCCTCCAGCATCTGTGTAATCTTGGGCAAGTTACTTATCGGTTAAAAAAAAAATAAAGGCTATCTTGCTCAGATATTTTCTCATAAAGATTATATACAACAGTGGCCTATAAAGGCCCTTAGCACAGTGCCTGGCATAAGGCAAGTGTATAATAAATAACTGCTTAGATAAAGGCCTTTGGTGACCAGGCCTCTGTGACTTTCCCCTTCCCTGAATTCCCAAAACAAGAAATGACTGAGTTACGCTCTTTTGACCCTTTTCAAATACAGCTTCTTACTGGTGCCAATTTCCCTGCTGTGTGATTTACCCAATAGCAATATAAACAATGCTTTGCACACAGAGGTCACTCAACAAGTATTTGCTGATTGATTAGCCAGTGATGAGGACTGAAGGTCTAAAATGAACACAATCAATTTCCCAAACACATGGTGAGGCAGTGAGAGCTGCTCTGGAATAGAAAGGGGTGAGCCAGATCCTTAGAAACAAGCGCTCTGCCCCAGGGTAACAACTGCCCCAGAGAACCTAGCCTACAATTTACTGAAGAAATGAGCCCTGGCCAGTCAGATTAAATGCCTGAGGCCACTTGGGCAGGGTTGCAAAATTCTTCTCTCCCCTCATGACCTTCCACAGTCTCACTGCTCCTACCCAAGGCATTTATACCAGTGGCAGAGGGCAGGGGCCACAGGCCCATGGGCCCAGGGTGGTGCGAGAGCAACCCTCTGCTGGCCCACGACCAAACTTTCTCAAGGAACCTCAGAATACAGAGATGTTAAAGGGCCTCACCAGGAAACACCTCCTTGGATTGGAGTGGAAGCACTCTTTATCATTGCAGGCCAACACCAGGTTTGGCCAGCGCTCCCCCCAACATGATCTTGCTTAGGGGGCTGACACCTCCATGGTTCATGGGAGACTTCCAGTTCTCACCTGAATCTCCCATCTCCCATGGACTGTGGCTCATCTCTACAGACACCATTTTCCTTTCTGAGGTTAAGTTTTGATTTGCTTTTTTTAGGGAAACTCTCACTCCATGCACCGGGGAGCAGACCCCTTTGGGAAGTGGCAACCCTCATCCAGGAGCAGGCTGGGTCAGTATCTGGATGTGCAATTCATTGGAAAACTCTGGGCTGCCAGAGGCCAAACCCATGAGTCAGCTGGAAGCTAATCTTTCTGTCCAGCATTCTCAAGATGTAAGCATCTTCTAGATTGAGTCCACCTGCGGCCCTTAAGGGACTTTTATGGCCTCAAAGTGTAAACTGATGTAGGAATTTTTATGACGTTCAGGCCCACAGTGTCCCCTGAACACCTAGTGCCCCTCAGGTGTTCCAGCTCCAAGTTCAACACCCTTCCTACCTCCTGCCCTGGCCAGATGTGCTGACATCACTGAAATGATGCAGTGTGAAGAGCTGCTGAGAAATGGCACATTCAAGTGATGGGACCAGAGAGGCATGCAGACAAGTGTCTGCGTGTAAACTGGAGGGAAAATGGTTTATCGGTTTTGTTTAAAAATAACTTTCCGGGCCTCCCTGGTGGCGCAGTGGTTGAGAGTCCGCCTGCCGATGCAGGGGACGCAGATTCGTGCCCCGGTCCGGGAAGATCCCACATGCCGCGGAGCGGCTGGGCCCGTGAGCCATGGCCGCTGGGCCTGCGCGTCCGGAGCCTGTGCTCCGCAACGGGAGAGGCCACAACAATGAGAGACCCGCATACCACAAAAAAAAAAAAAAACCTTTCCAAGACCATATGGCTAACAGATGATACATCTTTCCATCTAACCACTTCAGGAACCACCTTGCAAGCTGCTCAAGGGAAGAAGCAGCCTGAGTTTGAAAACCAACATCTACAAATACACTACTCTACCGCAAAGAGTTGAGTGTATCAAGAAAACGGCACAGCAGGGGAACAACAGTTCCAGTTCTTCCCTCTCCAGGAAGAGGCCTACCGCCCTAAGATGCCTCATTCAGTGACCGCTGAGGGTCAGCAGCCCTGCTAGGGCCCTAGCACCACCTAGTTATCAGGAAATAACTCCATTCAGAGGGAGCAAATCAGAAGCAAACCACTACCATCACGCCACGCCAGCCCCGCCAAATACCCACTACCTGGTCTAGGCAGATGGATGACACCACAGGGATCATCCTGTGCAAAGGAAACTCTGAATTAATACACATCAAGTACTCACTCAGGAAGGTGTCTGACATACAATACAGTAAGCACTCAATAAATATTCATTACTATTGTTGCCATATTTACTCAGCTCCAATCTTAAGTTTTTAAAAACATTAACCTTTCTATAATGGAGTACACCTTTAAATCTCTATACATCTATTAGCGGTCGGTCGTCTTATCCCTCTACTCCTCCGGCTGTTAGTAAATGAATGGTGGGTCTCACGATTGACAGTCTCTTAGAATGAAGGAAATACGGTATTAGTGGTCAGGCCAATGAAGGGGAAAATGGAGCAAGGGCCAAACCCACACCAAGAGGCTGCCCTCAGTCGGGCCTCTGGGCTCACAGGTTGAAGCAGAAGGAGAAGGTGCAGAAGGAGGGGGAGAGAGAAGGATGTGGCCCAGAAGCTAAGGAGCTGGAGGCAGCAGGTCAGGAGCGGCCGGGAAACAGGAAACAGGGAAACTCTGCCTCAAAGATACAGCTGAGAAAGGAAGTCTACGTAACAGCAGGGTCTACTAGCCAACGGGTGGGGAAAGGAAGGAGGGAGTGGGAATAGGGGCGGCGGCAGAATGAGTATCAGTTCTTTTTCTCCCCAACACTGATCCCACCGCAGCTGGGGAACTTGGTAGGAAGGGGTCTGCCACAAGGCTGAACTACAGGAAGCCGTCAGGTGTCAGGGAGGAGGAACAAAGGAGACCACGTCGCAGGTATGGGGGCCATAAGCTGGCAGAAGACTGACAAGGAAAGCAGAGCAGGTCTGGGGACCCAGACCGCGGGGACGGGGAGAAAACTCGGGACACCGGCCAAGGGGTAAAAGAAAGGGAGGGGCGGGAGCTAAAGTTGGAGCTGAGGGCTGAGAAACTGGGGGGAACTGGGAGGGGCAGAGAGGAAGATGAGCGGAGGTGACAGGCAGGAGGAAGCGGAGAGAGTTGAAGGGGCCTCCGTGAGGCAGGTGGCGGGGATCCGCCGGGTGGGGCGAGGGGAGCGAGCCTTCCCCCGCACCCAGTTTCTCACCTTTGACGTCTTTGGCCAGCGCCTTCCACGTCGGGGCGAAGGCGATGCAGTGGCCGCACCAGGAGGCGAAGAACTCCACCGCCCAGGCGCTGTGGGAGCCCAGCACGGCGTCGCGCAGGGTGCCAGCCTGTAGCAGCTTCAGCGGGTCGGAGGGCGAGTAGAGCGCCGAGCGCGGGGCTGCGCCAGCGCCGGGCACCACCAGCAGCAGCGACAGCAGCAGCAGCAGCAGCAGCAGCGACGGCTGCGGCCCGGAGCCGCGTCCACAGCACTCCATCCTCTGCAGCTGCGCGGAGTCCACCACTGCGCTCAAGTTTCGGACGACTTAGTGCCGGGTGCCTCCGCCGCACCTCTTGTCTCCGTCGCGGGGAGGAGCCACGTGACCCCGCCCACCGTGGGCTGGTGCCGCCCCTTTCCCCGCCCCGCCCCGCCCCGCCCGTCGGCCAGTGGGCAGGAAAGCCGATGAGGGACGAAAACCGGAACCGGACGCTAGAGTCCGGGCCCGGCTGCGAGCGCCCCCTTCGCAGTCCGCCGAGACCTCAGAGCTAGTCGGGTTCCCGCCTCGGCCGCAGGAGGAGGGGAGCTCAGCCCAGGCCCCGGAGCGCCCCCCCCCCGCCAAATGATAGGTGTGGGACTCTGCCCGCGTTCCTGTCGCTTTTGGCGACTCCGGGAAGTCATTTGGCTTCTCACAGGCCCCGTATCCAACGGGAAAAGAGACCGTTGGAATAGATTGGACCGATTTATGCCGTTCCCAGAAAGTTCTGGGGATCCCACCAAGCGATAAGAAGTTGTGAATTAGAAGCACGCGGGAGAGAAGGACGTGTGGTAGGACAGTCTCTGAGTCTGTGGCCACCATGACGCCACGGGGATCAGATGTGCCCACACCCCACACTCCCCAACGCCTGTGATCATCTAAGGAAAATATTATTTGAGGGCTTCCTAATTATGAATTAGAGGCCCCCTTCCATTTTAGGCTGGGCTGGATTGGCGTGGTCCATTGGGTGGAATCAGAGTTTCCTCAGCACGCAGGTCTGGCCACCTCAGGTTGTTAGGACGATTCCTCCAACTGGGGCTCCCAGCAGCCCAGGTACCCCACATCTAACTCTCCAGCCTACACACAGATCTCCATATTCACTTACATATCCCTCTCACGAGTAACCTGATAACTAATCTTGTGTTCATGTGTACTAAAGTGTTGATGATTAATTTTCTGTGGTCTACCTTTCGTAGTTCCAGTGCTGAGTTATCTTAACAGGAGCAGGTGTTCCTCGGTGTTGTCACGTGATCTTTTCCCTTTGTGTCTTCTGGGTTAGGCCACCTCACCTGTAAGCCATCTGAGACTAGATTTGTTATTCATTCAACATTTACTGAGTGGTTTCTTTGTGCCAGGCACTGCTCTAGGTACTAAGGCTGAGGCAGTAAATAAAACCAAGACTCTACAGTCATGGAACTTACATTCTAGTGTGGATAGGGATAGAGAGATGTAAATGTAGATCCTATGTTGACAAAGGCTATGAAGACATGTGCAATAGGGTAAGAATAAAGTGACAGAGGAAGTGGTATTTTATTTTAGACAGGGAGGTCAGTGATGGGCCCATCCCTGATATTTGCAGGGCCAGGGTAAATCGTGCAAATGGAGGCACACATATCATATGTCTACATAATTTAAAATTATAAACCAATTTAAACTGTTATGTAAAATTCCTGTCCTTTCATGGTGACAAGTATACCTTCATAATAATCTGGAAGGCCAAACTTAAGTTTAGAAATCTCGGACTTCCCCCAAGATGTGCATTGGAATGGGGCTGCTTAGGTGGTAACTGGTCCCTGGCCCTCAACCTTCCTCCTACTCTTTGCACCCCAGCTCTATCCCATACTTAAGGGGAACTTGTGCTCACACCTATAGCATCCCTGTCTGCACATCTGAGCTCCATCTATACCTCCAGCAAATAGCCGCTCCTTGGTTCCTTAAGAGAACAGACCTTGGGAAAAGGCTGATGCAGTCTCTAGAAGCTGGCCTGGTGCTACTGCAGTAGGGAGTTCTAGGGTCTCATGCACCCGCAGTATGATCTAAAAGGGGTGAGGCACAGGGGCTTTGGGTGGACTCATCCCCTTGGCCCATGGTCTTCTAGCTCTGTGGAAAGAGGCGTGGCTGGAAGAGGGCCAGAGAGCTCAGAAGACAAGGTAGGGGCTCCTCCTGCCCCAGTCTTAAGGCAGTTCTAACGGGATAACATTTGAGACAAAGACCCAAATGAAGAATGGGAGGGAAACTTGTGGCAATGTGAGATAAGAGCATTCCAGGCAGAGATCTGGAAGTTGGAGCCTTTGCTCCCTTCATGAATTCGTATTCTCTGTGCCTGAACAGAGAATAGGCTTTGAACATATTCTCAAGTTCAAAGTCTTGAACTGCATAGATAGTCTCCTAGCAACCCTGGATTCCAAGGGGTGGACGTACCCCAGCGGCTAAATCAGGGGCCAGGAAAAGTCAAGTGGCTTCACATGTCTCTATTGTTAAAAAATGTTATAGTTATCTTCCCCAGGGAATTCCCTGGGAATTAAGGGGACAGTTTTGGCTAAACAAGAAGAGCACCTGGGAAGCACAGCTCACATAAGTACGCAAAGATTTGCTTGTTCACATGTCTATTTCAGAACATCAGAAATGGAAAAGAATACAAATGATTTGAATGGAATAGATAAAGTTTCTTGGCAATGGGGCCAAAGAAATTAGCCTTGAGAGTTGTAAAATCTGAGGCTTCAATATCTCAGAACAGCAATACAGGGATTTTTTTTCTTTTTTTTTTGCGGTACGTGGGCCTCTCACTGTTGTGGCCTCTCCCGTTGCGGAGCGCAGGCTCCGGACATGCAGGCTCAGTGGCCATGGCATGGAAAATCTGAGGCTTCAATATCTCAGAACAGCAATACAGGGATTTTTTTTCTTTTTTTTTTGCGGTACGTGGGCCTCTCACTGTTGTGGCCTCTCCCGTTGCGGAGCACAGGCTCCGGACATGCAGGCTCAGTGGCCATGGCTCACGGGCCCAGCCGCTCCGCGGCATGTGGGATCTTCCTGGACCGGGGCACGAACCCGTGTCCCCTGCATCGACAGGCAGACTCTCAGCCACTGCGCCACCAGGGAAGCCCAATACAGGGATTTTCAACTTTAAGTCTTGGATGTCTGTTCGAACAGAATCTTAAAAGGAGTCTCCAATAAAAGCAAGCTGCCCATAAACAGAGGGATGGATAAAGAAGATGTGGTCAAGAGATACATTCGGTAGATCTCCTTTCTGCCCATGGATGCCGCCGAGTAAGCATCGTTGATGTCTCCCCCCGCCTCCACTGCCGTCGTGTCTAAGTCAGAGTCACCCAAAGAGCCCGAACAGCTGCGGAAGCTCTGCATCGGAGGTTTGAGCTTTGAAACAACCGATGACAGTCTGAGGAGCCATTGTGAGCAGCGGGGAGCGCTCACAGACTGTGCAGTAACGAGGGATCCAAGCACCAGGCGCTCCAGAGGCTTCGGGGTTGTCACACATGCCACTGTGGAGGAGGTGGGTGCGGCCATGAAGGCAAGGCCACACGAGGTGGATGGAAGAGTTGGGGAACCAAAGAGGGCCGTCTCAAGAGAAGATTCTCAAAGACCTGGTGCCCACTTAACTGTGAAAAAGATTTCTGTTGGTGGCATTAAAGGAGACCCTGAAGAACATCACCTAAGAGATTATTTTGAACAGTATGGGAAAACTGAAGTGATTGAAATCATGACTGATCGAGGCAGTGGCAAAAAGAGAGGCTTTGCTTTTGTAACCTTTGATGACCGTGACTCTGTAGACAAGGTTGTCATTCAGAAATACCACACTGTGAATGGCCACAACTGTGAAGTAAGGAAAGCCCTATCTCAGCAAGAGACAGCTAGTGCCTCATCCAGCCAAAGAGGTCGAAGTGGTTCTGGAAACTTTGGTGGTGGTCGTGGAGGGGGTTTTGGTGGGAATGACAGCTTTGGTCGTGGAGGAAACTTCAGTGGTCGAGCTGGCTTTGGTGGCAGCCGCAGTGGTGGCGGCTGTGGTGGCAGTGGGGACGGCTATAATGGATTTGGTAACGATGGAAGCAGTTTTGGAGGTGGTGGAAGCTACGATGATTCTGGCAGTTACAACAATCAATCTTCAAATTTTGGACCCATGAAAGGAGGAAACTTTGGAGGCAGAAGTTCTGGCCCCTATGGTGGTGGAGGCCAATACTTTGCCAAACCCCAAAACCAAGGTGGCTATGGTGGTTCCAGCAGCAGCAGTAGCTATGGCAGTGGCAGGTTTTGATTGCCAGGAAACAAAGCTTAGCAGGAGAGGATAGCCAGAGAAGTGACAGGGAAGCTACAGGTTACAACAGATTTGTGAACTCAGCCAAGCACAGTGGTGGCAGAGCCTAGCTGCTACAAAGAAGACATGTTTTAGACAATACCCATGTGTATGGGCAAAAACACTCGAGCACTGTGTTTGTGACTAATTGTATAACAGGTTATTTTAGTTTCTGTTCTGTGGAAAGTGTAAAGCATTCCAACAAAGCGTTTTAATGTATATATATATATATTTTTTGCACCCATGCTGTTGATTGCTAAATGTAATAGTCTGATCATGACGCTGAATAAATGTCTTTTTTTAAAAAAAAAGAAAAAAGAAGATGTGGTACATATATACAATGGAATATTACTCAGCATAAAAAAGAACAAAATAATGCCATTTGCAGCAACATGGATGAACCTAGAGATTGTCATACTGAGTGAAGTAAGTCAGCCATAGAAAGACAAATATCATATGATATCACTTATATGTGGAATCTAAAAAAAGGGGGTACAGGGCTTCCCTAGTGGCGCAGTGGTTGAGAGTCCACCTGCCGATGCAGGGGATGCAGGTTCGTGCCCCGGTCTGGGAAGATCATATGATATCGCTTACTTGTGGAATCAAAAAAAGGGTACATGGGCTTCCCTGGTGGTGCAGTGGTTGAGAATCCGCCTGCCGATGCAGGGGACCCGGGTTCGTGCCCCGGTCCGGGAAGATCCCACATGCCGCGGAGCAGCTGGGCCCGTGAGCCATGGCCACTGAGCCTGCGCGTCCGGAGCCTGTGCTCCACAACGGGAGAGGCCACAGCAGTGAGAGGCCCGCGTACCGCAAAAAAAAAAAAAAAAAGGGGGTACAAATGAACTTACTTATGAAACAGAAGTAAAGTCACAGAGGTAGAAAACAAACTTATGGTTACCAGGGAATAAATTGGGGGGAGGGAAAATTGGGAGATTGG